GATAGATAGATAGATAGATAGATAGATAGATAGATAGATAGATAGATAGATAGATAGATAGATAGATAGATAGATAGATAGATAGATAGATAGATAGATAGATAGATAGATAGATAGATAGATAGATGGGTTGGTGGGAAGATGGGTAGATTTGTAGATAGATTGGTAGGTAGGCAGGTTGGTAGGTAGAATTTAAGATTTAATAACATTAAAATAGAAAAAAATGCCATATTTTTTGTAAAAATAAAACCTTTCATGTAAGGACAATTTCTATGACATTAAGTAATAAGGGAATGCCTACACTTTTGAAGTTGATGTGTTTGTTTGAAGGTTTTCTAAGGATCCGAAGTAGTCTTTCATATTATGTCCACGGTTTATATCAACATAATGGTAGCTAGGTCCAAGAATCCTGTGGATATCTTTGTTAAAAAGTTTTGCTGTTATCATTCCCATGGCCGATTGATCGAACCTATTGGAAAGAAAAAAATAAGGGGACATTATCACAAAAGTATAAGCATTCTATACACATTCTTCTTTATATTGCAAAGACAATGATTTGATAATTGAAACGACCAAAAAAAAAAAAAATATTCATTCATTTATTTGTAGGAGTCAAATAGCGGAAAAAATGTTTCATGGTATATTTGGTAAATGTGTATTAAAAAATTACTTTAATTTGGAAAACTTTCATAATTAATATCTTTTAAATGAATATCGTAGAGAGGAAGATAAAATTATAAAAATAAATGAATTTCAAATTATACATTTTCAGATAAACTGTGGATATGAAAACACCCGACAAGGCAGGGCAACCAGAGAAATTTGAAATAAAAGTGATTCATTGAATCATTTAATGCGGAATGAGATACATTTTGACTAAAATTAGAAGCTATTTTACCAGAAAATGAAGAAAAAGAGACTAATTTTATACTATAATTTCTACGTCTTGTTTTTGAGTCAACGAATTTTGAAGCGATAATAACTTTTTCTTTAAGAAATATTATTCCATGCGTGTCTTTATCGCGGCCTTTGTGAGCGAGACATTAATTCAATATACAATGAAATCTCTCCGCATGTTTATATGGTTTTTACTTTACATAATTAATCTTTTATCACCTGTGACACCTGTGTTCAATAACAGGTTTATTACAGCTTATTACTGTTGCAGGTGGAACAGGACACATGCATGATGGTTCCAGTGCACAACGGGCCCACGGTTCTAAGACGGCGCGTATGACAAATGGATCGTTCTTGTACATGCCGTTGTTGGCTCCGATTTCAGGGAATGGAGAAAATGCACACGGACTCTCTCCGAAATAATCAAACATCTTGAAGAGAAAGAGCTCAGTTAAATGGCTAGTTGCTAGATCTTAAAAAGTTACAATCTCTGTTTTTTTGTATAGTAAATTCAAACAAAAAATCAAGTTTTGACTCCTAAACATTTATCTTTTATAAGTTAAGTTTTATATAACATATTTCAGATATCTAGTAGCTTTCTAAATAATTTTCGAAAAGAATTTGCTAAACAAACAAACCTTAAACAGGGGAACAATAGCAGTGAAACATAGAAACAATAAAAATATGAAATTTAAAAATCCTAGTTTTCTAACCTCTCTCATTGTATGCAATGAAATTCTGGAAAACAAGTCGTCTCTGTGATACTGCAAACCGAACGTTCTTGTCCTGTTTAAAACTTTGACGATGTCTGAAGTCCAACGAATGGAAGCATCTTGGTATACAAGTATTTGGCGAGCTTTCTCCATGGTGGCCTTTGTTTTACAGAAAGTAATTATTCAGGAAATTTTTAAAAAAAGTTTTTTTTAATAATTATTTGATTAAGTATAGTATTTAATCTTCTTAAAGTAACCTTTTTTTAAAGAATATGATTCATTGTAAGCCTTGCTCATCTACGTACATTTAAGGTTAAGAATGTAACGAAATATTTAAATAGGTTCAAGGGGGGGTGGGGGTCGGTGTTCAGCATCAATCTATAATAATTATTACCAATTGGATCTTGTCCGCCCCTTAGGGACGTAACTAATGAAATTCGGGTGAACCGTCAGTGTCATTATTAACACGTCCATTTGAAAAGATACCTTGGGGTTTCCCTTTACTTAATTGAAGGAAATTGGTGTGTGTGCGTGGGGGGGGGGGGAATTATACGGGGATTCTTTTGCAGAGAGGCAGGGTGGAGAGAAAGTTAGAGCATGAAAGAGACATGACATTCGTGCCTTATGCTGTCAAGGACCCAGGGGTGTGAATCTTTTGTTTTTCTCCGACAAATGCATGAATCTAACATGGCCCAAAAATCTATTTCTGTCTATTGATACATATTCTCTTGTAAGTCTTATCAAAAGCTTATAGAAAGTTCTTGAGACACTGCAAGCAAATAGAAAACTGCTGATCATATTGAATTTCTCTTAACGCTCATAAAATGTAATTTTTGCAGGAACAAATAAGCAATTCACGATGAAATAGCCATTCAGCGATATTTTAAGGACTATTTATTAGAAATATAGTAGAGGCAAATTTTTAAAAAAATCCATTGATATAACAGAATGTGAAATATAAATGTGTGTATCATTAAATGTTATATATCTCCATCGCTGGGACTGTACTGACCCGAATAATCACTGGTTTCCAAGAATAGCAAATATTTTCCTTCATGTGAGGAGGGAATTTTTCAACCGGAAATCTCACCAAGCGACATCGGCAAAATTTTTCAGTCTTAAGAATATAATTTAAAAAAAAAAAAAAAATTAGACTGGTATCATTTTCAGGACGAGAATTCCGGGTAGTTATAGTTAATTAAAAATATATTTTTTTTTACATTTGCTTTACAATACTGTTTCAGATATCTGAACAGATACAAAGAAATATGACTCAATCATTTTTTTGGGTTGGTAAAATATATATTTCTTTAAAGGAGCATCTGTTATTGAATTTTCTTTATTCTTAACTGACACATTTTTAAATTATTTTTTTTTATGAAATAGGAAATAAATAAAAATTATTATAATAAAACAATCTAATAAGCTAGTCTGAGCTTGATATAAATTAAATGAATACCCGTATTCTTTGCTCTTCTGTAAGTCCAATGTCAAATAAGACCACAGTAATATTAGGCAATATAGGAAAAACTACAGTATGCAGATTGTGAAACATGGCCTGCATTTCGTCATAATGGTTGGAGGAGCTTGCTGACAGAAATATGATGTCATTCTCGGGAATAGAATCTGCAATGGACAAGATGGTGTCTCTCTGTTGGTTTGACAGTGTTAGGTTGGCAGACAAGAGGACATCTGTAAGTCGCTCATCACTCGAGTTACTCAGTGGCCGTGAACAGTTGGGAGTACACGCTGGTAAATAAAGTAAACTTCAAGATCGTTGCCCTCATATCACCTTTTCTATTTACAAATAATATTTGTAAGGAAATTCTATTTAACTGTTTTCTTTGTCATAATCATTAGTATCAAATAATAACTAAAAATATTCAAGTCCCATTCATCCTTATTACGTCAGCCAAACATTCAATCAGGTTTTATTTCAGCTATATCTGCGGGGAGGGGGGCCGGGGGGCATTGCCCCCCTGGGAAATTAAAGTTCCCCCCCCAGCAAAAACATGTCCAACAATAAATCAACTGGCACTGCTGGCACTGCCCCCCCCCCAACCGGCCCCTCGAAAATTCTGAAGTGCCCCCCAAACCGGAGGAAATTTCTGAAATAATCACTGCATTTAATGGCATTGGTTGTTGTGTTCTGCAATAATTGGTTTCAGACAGATCTAATTTAAATCAGAGGAAAAGACCTGCCATTAACATAATAGAAATGGGGGCATATTGTTCTAATTCCACTTGCTGTTACAAAGAAGTATCAAAATATTAAATTTCAATTTGTACGTATGTAATGGGATCGCGCTATGATTTATTGTATCATTGATATAAAATCAGGTAAACATGTTCTAAAATGTATGGTAAAATTATATTTTAAATATCTGCATCACTTACGGATCTATTAGTATCTTCATTAATATGTTCCCAAACTTTGCCTCAACACTGAACTATATTATTGGATAATCTTGAGAAAAAGAATTTTCGTATTTCTAGAAAATCATAACTAATGTTTACGTCTGTAAAAACTTTTTTTCCTTTCTTTAAAAAGAAATATTATATATCTATTGGAAATTTACCCACATTTTTTATGACAGTATTTTGGGAAAAGTCAAAATAAAGTGACTAATTTGTACAATGCAGTTAGTATTCATAACTAGAGCTATAAGTCATACATTCCACTATAATAGCTGTTTTTTTTAGATGTTTAGTTATTTTGTAAATTATGTCCTAATGCCAAAAGCTCCCCATGCATTCACACACACATGCACACATATCTACAACCAAAGAAAACAAATCTGGCATGACAAAAAATAATTAATTAATTTTTAATGTTAAAAGATTTTTTTTTTTCATAGACGTTTTCATTCCGTTTTAATTTGATATTTTTGGATAGAGTGTTACCTCCAGCACCACTACCACAGTCGTTTTTAAAATGTTGTACAGGAGAATCACTGGGTTGTACCAACAACGTCTGAAAATGGCTTATAAACTCTTCCAACGTCAAATTAGACCCGCTTATTGGACTCGTCAAAAGCGTTGATTTTGAAGTGTTATCCTCTGTAAGATATGTAGCACCATGATGTTAATCTTAGCTTGAGCCATATTGCCACTTTTTTGGGGATCATAGATACATTTAAACAATTAAAAGAGACGAAAATTTTAGGAGCTGCCCTTCCCCTAGAAACTTTGGTAGAATCTACGACGCCAGAGAAGTGTGTTTTTAAAGGAGAAGCCGTAGTTTCCAATAAGTGCCCCCCTCTCTTCTCTTAGCTGCAAGTAATGGGGGCTATAGATCGGGGTTTTACTCCCTTTAGATGCACCAACACCCTATCTGTGTCTATTTGTTTTCTACTACTTGTTTTGCTGGAGTTTTACCTGACCAGGTCTGTGTATGCACTGTCAAGCGCCGGAAAACTTCGCAACACATGTATGTGACTAAATAGAGCTGAACTAAAAATTACCATGTACTGACGATGACCTACTTAGAACCCCCCCCCCACACTTTTTTTTTTTGTTCAAGGTCAGGACAAGTTTATTCCCCTGATCACCGTCAACTCCACGTTGAACGTCACTGAACTGGTAAATAGTTGGACCATTGGACTGAACCACGAACTGAACTAAGCAATGGAAACGCCGCCCCCCCTCCCCCCCCCCTCCCCCAATCTCCTTTGACGTCTCGATCTGAATTCGTTGCCGTTGGAAAGGAATTTTTCAGAGCTAAAATATTAGAAAGGTTGTTCCTTTCTTTTCTTTTATCATCAGTCACATATAGCCTGGTTGATAGACCGCCGTATTGCTGCAGTGCATTCAACCGAACCTTACCAGCTGAATTAAAGGATCTGTTTTCTGAGGCCTGAGTCCACAAACCAGGCCCGGGAATCCATACGGAAGACCAATTCATCTCCCGTTACGATAGGACCGGGTGCTGATACACTTTACTCCCAAAGTCTCACATACACCCACCAGAGCTTACTAGGGAAGAGGTATCCCAGAAGGTGACTGGTATCATCCACCTGCGTGAGCGCAATAAAAAGCACTGAGCGCTGAAAATCGACGAGGTACAAAGGATGAAGAGTCCACCTCCACAGTGAATGGATCTCTGTACTGTACTGCCTAACATCTACCTGCGTGAACGACCTGAAAAGCGCTGAGCCCTGTAGCCACGCGGGAAAGAATTGGAGAATTCCCATCCACCGTTGAAGTAATTCTTTGCATCGCATTGCTGTTTTGTCCCCTTACGTGAACGCCCTGAGAAGCCACGAACATGCTACACACACCAGAATCATACGACTTTAAGTATCATCACTCTTCTAGCACAGAGGTTCTCAACAATGGGTAAGGTCACACTCAATTTAAAATGTGTGGGTGGGGAGGAGTGAATACAAATTTAATTTAAAAAATCATTTTTATTAGAATTTCTTACGGTTGATGACCTGGAAATAAGTTATAACATCGAGATTTGTACTTTAATCAGAAAATAAAAAAGGCCACGTAATTGATATATTTCAATCAAGATGGTTTACATAAAATCTTGAAAGATAGTTTTCTGTTGTTTTCAAAATTCTTTCCTGTGATTGATGCTTGCAGTTCAGGGGGAGGTGGGTAGTGTTCTGCATGCATTTGTGAGTTACTCCTGAAAAATCTTACCATTGTCTCATTGAGATGGAATATGGAAAAGAAAACTAATTTTTATTGTAAAAAAAAAAAAAATTAAACATTTCAAATTCATTTTTTATATATGTAAAAGTGGTATGACCATCAGTGGCATTTGGATAATGTTAAGGGGGCAGGAAAGGAAGTGAATGAGTAAGCATGGATTTCAGGGTGGTCCGAAAAAAAAATGGAGGTGGGTCATGTTGGAAAATGTTGTAATAAGAGTGCTTTGGTCAGAAGTAAGGAAAGGAGATGGGATGTTAATGGTGTGGTGGGGGTTTGATTGAGGATTGGAATTTGGGGATATTAGTGGGTATATACTCACCTTTCCATTGAAAGTACAGAACATTAATTATATTTGTGTTTCTTGAATAGAAAACGAGAATTAAAAGCACAGACAGTGCTCCCAATACCAGCATGCATTGGAAACCTGATAAATAGAGAAAAAAAATATATAAATATAAGAATGAGCTAGGTTGACCGTATCGCCAAAGAAGCAAAGCGATTCAATAGGTTCGGATTCTTAAAAACAATAATAGTGATTTGTTAATATTTTAAGAAAATCGTATGAATTTAAATGCGCAAAAAATAAAATACATTCACTTTTATTTTAGAATAGGTTTAAGTAATACTATTATAATTTACAAATACATATACATATAAGAATGAGTTAGAGTGATATAACGCCAAAGGCGAGATACTTTTTAAGTACGTTCGGATTTCTCAAAAATTCATAGTTATTTTCAATTATTTTGCGGAAATCGAATAAATTTAAATGTGCACAATTTTTATTTAAAATCGGATTTGTATTTTATTAAAAGTTAAATTAATATTATTCTAAATTAAAAATACGTTTACAGTATCAAACAAGGAATTATTTTAAGCATTGTATCCGAATTTAATAGTAATGAAAAAAATTATTAATTAAAATATTATGAATCTAAGAATTGCATCTTAATCACATTTATCGGAAAAAACCCAAACATCAGTTTATCTTAGTGCGTATTTTAGTGCGTACTTAATATTGCGAAATAAAATAAATTTATTTGATCTAAATAATTACACAAATGACGTCGTAGCGCGTTTCCCTATTTTAGCCACAGCTCGAAGTTTCTTTGATTTTTAACCGCGCGTAACAAAACTAATAATAAATTTTCTCTCTCTTAAAAGAAAACTTAATGAAAGTAATAGAAGTCCTTTTAAATTGATAACATTTTCTAAAATTTTAATACAACTTTAGCTTTGTATTTTTAACACATTTAAAACGTTTTTACTTTCATTTCTTTCTAAAAAAAACTTTTATGAAAGTTGTAAAGTAGTAAAAAAACTGAACCTTTACATATAGTTTTAATACAAACATGGCGTTTAATGCAATCAGTGCAGCGAAACTATATATATACAAATAGCATTCACTAATGCACGTATCACTCATCCAAATAAGAACAAAGCATGTAAAATGCACACAAAAAAATGTTTTTTTGCGTAATTTACGGGGTTAAAATATCGTGGATGACTTTATAAATTTCTTTAAAAATCTGTTTTTTTTTGTTTTATTTTTTTGGGGGGTGGGGGTGGAGAGAAGTAATAAGATAGTTTAATTTGCCCAAAGCAGAACACGAAGTGCCTTTGAATGAATTAGACAAATAATTAAAATTCTTAGGTAACTATATATCTGGGGTAAGAGTGAAGATATCGATATATATCAAATTCCTGTAATAAAAAATATATTTATATCATACATAGAGTTTTTGTTGTAAATTTAATATTAGGTTTTTTAAAAAGTTTGAGAAAAAAAAGGCTTTAATTCAAGGGCACAAAAAGGGGTAAATCTAAAGTATTTCTCTAGCTTAGTAATAGTCCCTAAATTAACTTCTTTAGTGACAAAAGTGATATAACTACTGAAGATAAGACTGGATAATTTAAGGTCATGTTTATAGGGAAAAAAGTAGTTTAGGAGTGTGAAAGATTGTATGGTACGCGTATCATATATAGCAGATAAACACTTTCAAAATGTAATGATGTTAGAAACGTAAATATCATTACATTTTAAAAGTTATGAATTGGGATGAATGTTTGCAACAACAGTTAGAAATTATCGCAAAAGACCTGCCATTATTATCCCGATAAAATCGGGTTATTTATTTTAGTGTAAAATAATAATCATTAACATTTTAAGCATTTTATCCGAATTTAAAAATAAGGGATGAAAATACTTAATAAAAAGAATAGCATTGCAATCCCATTATCGGGAAAACCTAATTATCAAATTATCAGTTGTTTTTAGTGCGTCTTTTAGTTAGAGACCGACCGAAAGTGATTTTCTGATTTCGGCCTAAGCCGAAAATAGGCCGAAAGTTTAAAATGACTTTCGGCCGAAACCGAAAAAAGGCCGAAAGTTTAAAAATGACTTTCTGCCGAAACCGAAAAAGACCGAAAGTTAAAAATGAATTTCGGCCGAAACCGAAGCCAAAACCGAAAATGAAATATTAAGATATTTTGAAATTCGTTCCCGCATACATTCTGCTTACATCGAAAATGATGTGGGAAAATATAAATATTTACATTGTTTTTATAAAAATGAGATAATCGTAAATATTAATAAATAAAAATATAATTTAGGGTTCTCAAACTCCCGGCCAGCGAGCCATTTGTGACCCGCAAGGCGATATTTTGCGGCCCGCTACATGACAGAAAAGTTTAGTGTAAATGCGCCGGCCCGTTTCCCCCATTCTCATATATATAACGTGACTCTCCGCGACGGTTTCAGTCGAATCTCACCGACTAATCTCATTCTGATTTTTTTTTAATGTCTCTATATATTTTTGTATGCCAGCTCTCTGGCAACAGTGAGTAGGTGGATGAAAGTGAATCCTAGTTCTTGAGAACCCTTAATGATTTTTTTGTTATTTATAAAGGTTGACCAGATTGTAACAGTTGTAATCGCTTTTTTGTGGATTACTTGATGCGGCCCACTCTCATTCAGACACTATCTCCTGAGCCCCCCCCCCCTATTTGAGTTTGTTCATAAAGATCGCTTAGATTGTTCTAAAATATCGCTTAGTTTAATCTTAAAGATCGCTTAATTTGTTCTTAAAGAAAGCTTAGATTGTTGTTAAAGATCGTTTAGTTTGTTGTAAAAGATCGTTTAGTTTGTTGTTAAAGATCGTTTAGTTTGTTGTTAAAGATCGTTTAGTTTGTCGTTAAAGATCGTTTAGTTTGTTCATAAAGATCGCCTGGTTTGTTGTTAAAGATAGTTTAGTTTGTTCTTAAAGATCGCATTAGTTTGTGGTTAAAGATCGTCTAGTTTTTGTTAATGATCGCTTTATTTGTTCTTAAAGATCGTTTAGTTTGTTCTTAAAGATCACATTAGTTTGTTGTTAAAGATCGTCTAGTTTTTGTTAATGATCGCTTTATTTGTTCTTAAAGATCGTTTAGTTTGTTCATAAAGATCGCTTAGTTTGTTGTAAATTCGCTTAGTTTTTTCATAAAGATCGCTTATTTTGTTCTTAAAGATCTTTCAGTTTGTTTTTAAAGAACATTTAGTCTTCTGTTAAAGATCGCTTAGTTTATTCTTATAAATCATTAAAGATCATTTGTTTTGTTCTTAAAGATCATTTAGTTCGGTCTTAAAAATCGTTTAGTTTGTTCTTTAAGATCGTTTAGCTTGTTATTAAAGATCGCTTAGATAGTTCTTAAAGATCGCTTAGTTTGTTTTAAAGATCGTTTAGTTTGTTCATAAATGTCGTTTAGTTTGTTGTTAAATATCATTTAGTTTGTTCTCAAAGATCGCTTAATTTGTTCTTAAATGTCGCTTAGTTTGTTGTAAAATATCGCTTGCGCTTAGTATTAAATGACCGAAAACCTGAGTAACTTTCGGCCGGATGGCCGAAAGTCTAAGTCAATTTCGGCCGAAACCGAAGAAAAACCGAAAGTTAACTTTTCTCTTTCGACCGAATCCGAAATTAAGCCGAAAGTTAACTTTCCAGTTTCGGCCGAAACCGAAACTTGGCCGAAAGTGATAAAATGGCCACTTTCGGCGCCGAAACCGAAGCCGAAGCCGAAATTCGGTCGGCCTCTACTTTTATTTCGCTGCTAAAATTGAGAAATAAAATTAAACTTAATTTGATCAAAATAAACATGCATATGATGCCATAGCGCGAAATGCCTAATTTAACCAAAAACATAAGTTTCTAAAGTTAATAACCATGCGTGACTAAACTGATAATATATGTTGTATCTTGGTTTAATTAACATTTAATGTTATTAATTTTTATTCATTCCAAACAAATATACTTTTATTAAATCGATGACGTAATAAAACTTAACCTTTAAATATACTTGTATAGTTCCTAATATACTTTTGATAAGAAAATGCTTTTTTAAGTAAATCAGTACTGAGAAACTCCATAGCAAAATAACATTCAGTAATGCACTTATCGCTCATCCAAATAAGAACAAACCATATGAATTGGACAAAATGTGTTTTGACGTAATATATATATATATATATATATATATATATATATATATATATTACTTGGCGAAAAGTAAAGTTTAAATATATTGCTATGAGATTAATATAATTTCTGTTTAAGATAAGAAAATGCTTTTTTAAGTAAATCAGTACTGAGAAACTCCATAGCAAAATAACATTCAGTAATGCACTTATCGCTCATACAAAAAAGAACAAACCATATGAATTGGACAAAATGTGTTTTGACGTAATATATATATATATATATATATATATATATATATATATATAGTACTTGGCGAAAAGTAAAGTTGAAATATATTGCTATGAGATTAATATCATTTCTGTTTAAAAAATAAATAATCAAGGCTTTTACAGGCGTGAAAAGCGATTAATAAATTGCTCTTTCTTCTTCTTCTTCTTCTTCTGCCTTTTTACCCCGTCTTTGGCATAGGCCGTCCACAAGAATTTTCCATTCATTACGACCTGTGCTTTTCTTTCCAGTTGTTTTCAGGTGTATCCCATATTTTGCGTGTTGGCCTCTAGCTCGCGTCTCCATGCGTGTATTCTTTGGCGTCTTCTCTTTCTTTTTCCCTGTGGATTTCATGTTAGAGACTGTCTGGCGATCCAATCGTGGGGTTTTCGGAGAGAACGCCCTATTCACCTCAATGTTCTCTTTATGATGTCTTAATCAATGTGCAGCCGGTAAGTCCTTTCAAGTATATCTTTGTGATGGTATTTTGCCATTAAATGTTCAGGATCTTTCTAAGGCATGTGCTTATGAAGGTGGGTACTTTCTGCGCAATTCTCGCTGTTGTTTTAAAAGTTTCTGCTCCATATGGTCGAACTGTTTTGACATTTGTGTTAAAGATTCTGACTTTTGTTAAAAGCTTTAGTAAACAACAAAAGCAAAAGTTTGGTTCAAATTTTTGACGATACCAGTGTACCAAATTCCGTTAAGACAAAATTTATATAAAATGGTTTATAAATATACAGTTTTCACCATTGTCTGGGTTTTGTGACTAATCCTATTCTTTTCTTTTCTATTTTAGGCAAGATACATCTATTTATATATATTTTGTAAATTTATTGATACTTTTTAAAATTTTTGTTGTTACACTGATAAAGGCTTTGCCGAAAATTGTTCTTGTGTATTACGTAAAATGATTATCAAAGCTGAACATATATTGTTTTATTGACACAAATTGTTCGTGTCTAATGAATCACATTATTAACAGTGATCGGACATCCCTTACAAAATCGTACGGGGAGTAAGGACGTCAAGATTGATAGAGTTCTGTCTATTCACTTATGACGACTAAGCAATGCAGCGAATTAACAATATAGAGTATTCAAAATTGAATATTTAAATTATTACCGCAACACTAGGCTGTGATCGAAATTTTACCACTCTATGATATCAGGAATACAAATCTATATAGGATCAAGCAGTGTAACATGACTGTTACGTAGAGTTACAAGTGTAGAGAATTTTATCTCTTATTTGACCTAATGGCTCGTTGGTAAACAGTACATAAAAAATGACGATACCATTAATCTTTACATCAATAAAGAACGATACCCGAACTAGGGCTTTTTACAAATAATAATTTGAAAGTCAATTTTAAGATGTCGAAATCAAATAGAATAAAACTGAGGCTCATTGGCAAGGGTACGAGAACCACTGTTGTGATGTGTGAGATAACGGTAAATGCTGTTCACCAAAACGAGTGCAAGTATTAAGTGAACCAGGAGTGAGATTGTCATTGTCGAGGACGGTCAGGAGGGGTGTCTAAAGCGAAGAGTTGTGTCATGATGCTACTTGGCCATCCAACATGTAATGACCTTAATAAACATACCGTAAGAGATGATGGAGTCAGATTTGTAGTGTCTTGAACTTATGTAGAGGATAGATTTGAGAAAACATACTTTTCGGACAGTAAGGATAATAAATTGATCGTCAACCTCTGAGATCGACAGCACATCATTCTCGTCATTTGGGACCAGTTCTGCTGTGTTTTACCCGTCTGTAAGGTGACTGTATCGTGTTGTGGCCCTTCCGCTGATGCCGTATCCCGCTGCTGTTGTGTTTCCGCCTGAAGCTGTGTGTCGCACGCCCTTTTAGTACTTTGATGGCCGTCTCAAGCTGTGCGTATCCCGTTGTCCCTTGCCAAGTTCCCTCTGATTGCTTTGTCCCGCTGTCTGCTGCACGTAGCAGGTCAACCGCAACCAATTTACCAACGTCCCGGCTACCAGTTCGTTCTCAGTGCCTGCTAACAGACCGATAAACGTGATCCCCTACATCTACCATCACGCTAGCACACCTTATCGCTTAAAAACTGTGACATTGTTTGTAATTTGTGTTGAGAAGTCAAGGGCAAGTTCAAGCACAGTTCAGTGAAATATTAGGTACATAAGCAGTATTATTATTGCTATTTTAGATTATAGTATTTATCTAGTATATTGAGAAAAGCTGTAAATTTTTAGAACATGTAATTTTGTAGGGGTAACTTATTATAAATAGAAACTAAGAGAACTTCAGCAGAAATAATAGCTGAAAATATGGTGTTGGAAGAAGAAGACCTCAGATTTACGAGACAGGATTTAGAAGAATATGTAAGGGAACAATGGGGAATAATACAGGAAGATGAGCGGGAAGAAAAGAGAAAAAGAGAAGAAGGGGAAAGACGAGATACGGGAACAGGAACTTAAGAAATTGAAAATAGAAGCGGATAAAGAGATTGCACTAGCTAAAAAACAGCTCGAAGAACAGAGAAGGGACTGCATCCCAGAAATGGTGGGGATTAGACAAAAAGCGGCGAACAGATAGGAAGAACTAGAGGCAGAAGAAATCAGGAGACAATAATGTTATGACGGTGACATAAGGAGAGTGATGGGGAAGAATGGGCTAGTTCTAGAATAGATGGGGTAACTAGCATCAAGTGTGATAATCCGTACACTAGAGGGAATAGTTATAGCTAGGGGGTCAGGGAAGTAAACACAAAATAGGTATTACAGGGCAGAAGTAGAAATTAAGAAGAATCAGTTCAGATGGGATAATAAGCTTAAAAATATTGCAGACTTTGCGGAGGAGTTTATCCCGAGGAATGTCATGCTTATATAACTGAGTGTAGGCACAATGGGAAATGCCACTTATACAAGATAGTCAGGGTGCGGATTGTAAATTGTTGAGTCAGGAAATACATGAGATTGGAAGCAAAGGATTGAATTTTTTTTTTATGAATATGGGACTCTGTTTTTTGTTGTTGTTTTTTTTACAAGATATGAAATTTGTTGATGTATCAGATGACCCGTGTGATAGAGTCCAAACAGTGGAGTTTGATGAAGTGAAACAAGTGACTTGTGATTATGTACAAGATGTGAACCTTGTTGATGTGCAAGATGTGACTTTTGAGAATATAAAAACTGGATTTTTTTACAGGGAGATTTTGATTTTGTGGAAGATATAACTTTGAATTTTTGTACAAGAGGGAGAGTATTGTTTTATAGTGGAGAAAAATATCCTCTTTACGAAATTTCGAAAAGATTAAGACATGGACAAACTACGGGCACCACGACGTTTAGGTCGTGAGTTTGCCAAGACCAGTCCCAAGACGGGGACGTAAATTCAACAAGGTGTAAGTCATTGGTAATGACTTCACGTGGAACTACAAGGATTGTAATCCAATCGTGGAATTTCGTAGTGTGGGAGATACAGGTTGCTCAGTGTTTGAGAACCATGGTGGTGGTGACTAATGGTGAGTCCACGTAATAGTCTGATTGTCTTTTTTACAGAGTCCGTGGAGGAGTTAAGATTTTTTCCTGAGGTTGGGTAAGGGGGGAGAAATTGTGGTGTTTATGATGCATTTGATGATTATTGCCTATTATGCTATGAGAGCCAGGAGTGCTCAAATTTGAGGCTTTTTTTATAGGGTTTGATATTATTGATGAGGTTTACCAGAGCCATTCTTAGGAGTTTGGGGGCCCCAAGCATGGAGCGTAGGTTGGGGGCCCTGGAAGGGGGATCCGGGGGTGGATCTCCCTCAAGCTGAGGACAAAACACCACCCACAACTGCGGCACCTCCATTCTGCCTTCATCAATGTTTCCTCTTTCCTATTCCCACGGCCAAGCCCCCAATTTCCTGTCTGCCGTCCCCAAAGCTCCCCACTGCTGATTCCCTTCCCCTGCCTCCGAATTCAACTCAGAACAGTACATTTCAGGATGAGGAAGGTAACGTGAGTGACACCGACGGCTGCAGTGCCAGTTTAAAAAAAACCGAAGGCTCGAGGGCGCCTCATGGGGGCCCCTTTAGGTTCAGAGTTCTACGCGGATGCGTAGTCAGCGTATGCCTAAGAACGGGCCTGGGTTTACATGAGTTTGGTGGCGAGGCTTGTAATTTTTGTGATAAGTTATGTGAACATTTGGGTGAAGCTGTGGGTGAAGATGTGTTGTCTAATATGATATACATGTTGCTTTTGGAGGTGGTCTTAGTGTCAAGAGCTGTAAAACACGGCAAGTGGTTTTAGCTGGGAAAAAAAATGTACACGCTTTCAGACAGTCCTCTGACAAGCGAAATATCCCGCCCTCTTAAAATCTTATAAAATAGCAAAACGAGGTATATGTGAAGCTTGAATAAGATAACAGGGCAAAAAAAAACAAGGACATTTCGGCATAAAGCCTTCCTCAGCCAACAGTAGAAATGAAAAATATAACAAAGAACAGAGCTCAATAGACAACTCAAGAAGTATCCATTCGTGTCGCCGGAAGTGGGAACACAGGAAGCGAGAGAATAAAATATTGAGACTGTTAAAAATGAAGTCCACAATAATAATGGACTATAATATCCAGGGATACATCAACACAAAGCAATAATAAAATAGATGAAATATAGGGAAACAGAGCAACATCAGAAGGATATTATTTGATTAATACCATATGGAGATATGGTGCCAAACAGCTGAAGAAATTTATTTTGATTTTAACCCTCTCTGGTGTGTTACTGCATGAAATCAGTGCCGTAATGGTTACATTAAATGCACCTTTACGTTCTGTTCTGTTGAAATGAGAAGAGACTGGGGAAGGTTTACCTTGCTCAATATCCCTTAGATCAGCGGTTCTCAACCTGTGGGTCGCGACCCCTTTGGGGATCCTTTTACAGGGGTCGCCTAAGACCATCTGAAAACATGTATCCTTACAGCTATGAAGTAGCAACAAAAATAATTGTGTGGCTTGGGGGTCGCCACGACACGAGAAACAGTAATAAGGGGTCGCGGCACTAGAAAGGTTGAGAACCACTGCCTTAGATGTTGAGTAAACCTATCAGCCAATCTTCTCCCAGTTTCAACTATGTAACTAGATTGGCATCTACGGCACACAAACGCATACATTACATTACGGCTGACACAGGTGAAACCCTCTTTAATGGTAAAGGTACCTTTAGGGAGGCTAATGCTTTCAGTTTGACGTCTAAAGGGACAAGTCCTGCAGCGTCTTATTAAACATTACTTGTTATATTTTCATTTCTACTGTTGGCTGAGGAAGGCCTTATGATGAAACGTCCTTGTTTTTTGTCCTGTTATCTTATTTCAAGCTTCACAGATACCTCCTTTTGCTTTTTATTCATTTACTAAGCTTGAAAGCAGTCCTTTTATTTATACTTAAAATCTTAGTAGTAGACTGGACAATTCAGGGCTGTCTACATGAAATTATGGATATTGATATTATTTTTATTTGCCACGGCCACGTGTAAATGTGTAAGTAGTAGTCGGTGTTATAAACGGGCGTCAAGATTATTTCTTGATTTCAGATTATAACTGTAATTGTAATGGTTTTTTTTTCATTAAATTATTATGATCAGAAATTAATGAGACATGATTAAACGCATGCTGTAATTGTATGTACTTGGGATAAGTATTGTAAACAGTGTAACCTTAATACGATTGTTTGTTTTGATGTTATTTATTGCATTGTAACGGGATAGGGTGATAACAGAGTTTTCATACCCAGACTTTTTATTTACAGAAGATTCTACTCTACTCGTGGAGTAGAAGATAAGCGGAAAAGGGGGAAAAGGTCAATGGTACGAGAACCACTGTTCTAAATGTGCGGGGGGGGGGGGTAACGGTAAATGAATTTCACCAAAATGAGTGCAAGTTGAGTGAACGAGTCGTGAGATTGTCATTGGCGATGACGGGCGAGAGATGTACACATAAAGCAGAGCTGTGTCATAGTCAGAGAGAGAGTATTCACGCACGAGAGTGTGTGTTTCCGAGTCTCTCGGGTGTGTTAGGAAAGTAGTGATGATTCTGTGTATCTCTTGGTGATGCTAGAGGACCATTCAATATGTAATTACCGTCATAAACGTATCGTATTAGATGATGGAGTCCCAGCTGTAGTTCCTTGGACTAATGTAGAAGATAAGTTGCGCTAGATTGGAGAGGCCATACTTATCGTCCCTTAGTAACAGCAAATAGATCATCAACCTCTGAGATCGACAGCACGTCAATCTCGTCACTAATCACTTACAGCAACAGCAATGAACTGGTACAGCCGCAAAATTGAAAAAGTGCACACACACTCAGAGTAAAGATTGATATACACATGCACGATATTAATAAAAATAAATAATAATAAAGTTTATTTAAAAAACACGCTTCATCCCTAAAAGGTCGAAGCGCGGTACAAAGTCAAGCATATTAAAATGATAAATAAAAACAATCTAAAATTTACCACATTTAAAAACAGATGCAATAATATAAAACTACACACGAGCATACCCAGTCAAAGTCTTTCATCCCTTTTCAACCATAAGCAACACAAGCCAATGTACATTAACTGAAAAAAGATGGTAGATAGCATCACCCTAGAAGGGGCTTGTGAAATAGATGTGTTTTTAAATCGGTTTTTTAAATCACCAACAAATACTCCTCAATTGGATGGAGCCCAAACCTAGTACAAATACATTTTATTATCTATTTCCAATATTGGAAGGTACTGAACTCATTATGTCCGCTCCTTTAGGGCCAGGGCCACATTTAAGTTTTCCTTACTTAAGCTATATTATAATTACCATCTGGCTTAGACTACACTACAGGTTCTGTGTGAATTGATGGATCCAGGCCGAGTTGGGAGCTATACCCTTTATTGTCCGAATTGAAATATCGGTGAATTTAAAATTAATAACATTTAATCCATTCAGGGCCGGTCTAAAATTGTCCAGAAAGCTCCATATTTTTATAGAGCTATATTTCTATGGCATTTTTAAAACGATTTTAATGGGAGAACTTTTAAATTTTAATGCCATTATTTATCTGAATAATTTTATAGATTAGACAACCAACCCCCCCCCCCCAAATCTCAGGCATAGCCAACTTGATACTTTATGGAATGGACCTCCACCGGAGCACCTCTTTTTAAATGACAAATGGTTATGTTTATGCCATTTGATTGTAGAAAGTTTCGTCTTCCAAATATAGGCATACTTACGTTTAAAAGTCATTGTCACACGTTTTCAGGAGGCTATTCAATTTAATCCAGAATGTTCCAAAAAGTTATGTATTATACCACCGGGATATATGGTGGGATCTAAAAGCGTATTGTTATGTTATTTAAAGAGATCCAGTTCTATACTTTCCTGGGGATTCCCACAGTATCACTTCGTCATCGCGCTATAAGTTTAATGAAATATTTTGGAGAACCTTGGTCGTCTCTTTTCTCTAACTCCTTTCTCAGGATGATAAACTCGTTCCCTCTGTCTCTCGGCAACAATCAAGTTGGATGGTTATGGTCTTGCTATTTTATTCATCTGCCACTTCTCTTTGTCTTTCTCTCATCTCGCACTCAACGCTGATTGTCCTCCCCGCCCATCCGCTTCCCCCCCCTCCCTTGTCCGACTGAGTACTCCTCTTTGTCCTGTCTAAAGGTCCCTTTTTATAAGTCCCTGAATAGGTCGTTACTTCACTTTAGACCCCCTCCCCCCATCCCAATGGCTTTTATCTTTTGCTGCATCTTTGGTACTAAAATTTCTTCTGACATCTCCCGATATTTAATTGGATATTAACTAACCATCACATAGCGTTCGTAATAGTCTCGTCACGATGTTATCTGCTAAGCCACAACTGTTGGTCAGTTGGTCAGTTTCCGCAAGGCCCGAGCTGAAAACTAAAATTTGTTCTAACTCCCCCCCCCCCAACCGTTTAATTGGACATAAGCTAGCCACTACTATCACATAGCGTTCGTAATAGTCTCGTCACGATGTTATCTGCTAAGCCACAACTGTTGGTCAGTTGGTCAGTTTCCGCAAGGCCCGAGCTGAAAACTAAAATTTGTTCTAACTCCCCCCCCCAACCGTTTAATTGGACATAAGCTAGCCACTACTATCACGTAGCGTTCGTAACAGCGACGCCACGGTGCTACCTGCTACGCCACAACCCTTGGTCAGTCTCCTTACTGTGGGATTCCCAACCCCCCACCCCTGTACTCCCCCTCCCAGGTCGACTACCAAGCTCTGAACACGCCACAATATCTAGAATACTCTAGAAGCTTCTATGATTGCTATTATCTTTTTTTTTAAAATTACATAAAGGATCTTATCATCTTTATTATGTTTCAATAAATGTTAGTGTGTGTTACGTACTGTTATCAATATAGAGGACTGTATCTCTTATTTAAGTATATGGCTTGCTAAAAACAGTACACAATAAAATACGGTATCATAAATTAAACACAACAAATAAAAACGATACCCAAACTAGGGCTGATAACAATTAATAATTTTAATGAATAATTACAAAATTAAAAAAGAAATACAAACTAAAAGATATTGACTTACAGTATTATGTTGGCTTGTACCGGTACATTTTGAAGAAGACTCAAAGTTGTAAAAAGGGTACAACTTTGAAAAAGAAAGTACACGCACAAAGAGAGTGTATATGAGCTCACAAATCTTTGTCTCGTAATCGTGTTAGCAAATATCTCTCTTTCAATCCCTCTAGAGGCGTAAATATATAGCCTGTTTCAAAGACATTTTTAAGATAGGGCTTAAGCATTGTATTCGTTTCTTGAGCTGTCTCCATTATGCTAAAGAATTCTAATAATGCAGGCTACAGATTTTATTTAGTTGTGAACAAGGTCAAGGAAGACTATTTTTAGTAAGCCCCACCCTAAATGCGCTGTCTTAACTTGGGGTAAGTTAATTACAATTTTATTCACGGTAAAAGAGGACTCAAACACGTCGTCTTCATAAAAGTGTGTGTCTTCTACAAGCATAAGAGATCATTTTGGAAGTTCTAGAACGCTCCGAATTAATTGTACATTATTATGGCGCATGCTTTATATGCATGGGCCTCACGAAAAACTGGATCCCGTTGGTAACGTGATCAAACAAGGAACAGGATCACATCAAGGAATGTGATCCCATAGTGGAAGGGGATCCCACCGGGACGACGAATCCCACGGAGAAAAGAATTCCAAAAGCTTAGGGAATGACACGGAAAACGGGATTTCACAATCAAAAGGAATCCCATTGGTGAATCGGGGTCCCACCAGGATCGGAATCACACTGAGATCGGGATCATCGGGATCACATCGGGAAGGGAAATGATCGGACTATGTGATCCCTTTTGGAAAGGAAATCCCAACGGGTTCGGTGAGCTCACGGAAATAGGGATCCCATCAGGAACGGACACCCATCAGGAAATGGGATCCTACTTGACGTAGGGATCCCATCAGGATGGGGATCCCAAAGGGAAACGGTATTCAACTTGGAACAGTATCCCATCGGGAAATGGAATTATAGTTGAAACGGAATCTTTTCGGACTCACAATCGGGATTTAATGGTATCAGGATCCCAAAGGGGTCAGGATCCAACTTGAAATGGGATCACATCGGTTAAATTGGATTCCGTTTCAAAATGGGATAGGAATTTCAATGGGATCGGGAACCAACAAGCTAAGGAATCCTACTGGGAACAAGATCCCATCGTAAAATACTGCTACTACAGGAAAGGGATTCCACCGGGAATGGGAATCCACCGAAAACGGTATCCCAACAGAATCGAAATCCCACGGAAACGGGATCCCATTGGGGAACGGGATCCCATCGGGGATCGAACTGTAGACAAAGTTTATTATAAATAATAAAAGTTCTCTTTACCGACATGTTTTTACAAGTCCTTATTTTCGATTTTAGTAAATTTCTGTTTAACCCTTTATAGTCCGTATTGAAATATCGGTGGATTTACAATTAATAATATCTAATCGATTCGTGTGCCGCTCTAGAATTTTCCAGAAAGCTCCATAATTTTTATAAAAATTATATATATCAGTGGCTTTTAAAAACCGATTTAAATGGTACAACTTCTAAATTTTAGACACGGAAACGGTAAATCATTGGAATCCCAATCGGGATTTAATGAAATTCAGGATCCCATCAGGTTCGGGATTGAATCGAGATCCCATAAGAATGGGGATTTTGATCACATGCTGGGGATCGGGATAATAACGGGAAATGGGAACCCTTTGGGGTCGTATTTTATAAATGTCTATATAAATCTAGAGCAGATCATTTAAAATGTTAATATGTTTGCTTAGGGAAGTGTTTTTTACAGGCTCATGACTGCGATGTTAGCTTAAAGGCTGTAAGCGGTTTTATTTTCTTCCGAATGCAATCCCGGGCTACACCGGGTATATTGTCTAGTGTATAAACATAGCCGTTTACTTAATCTAAGGAATTTAATAAAATAAAAAAATTGAACGTGTATCAAATTAATTTGCGTTTTATTTTTATTATGACAGATTTATCTGTTTTATGGTCAAAAGAACGAAATGTGGAACATTGGCCTAATTTGAATTATTTAAATTTTTATGAAACACTTGTACCGGCCAGGCAAAGAGCTCATGTACTAATGCAGAATAATTTGATTCCCTTTAAAATAATATAATATAAACGAGTTATTAACATAGTCTCTAAATATATAATATATATATATATATATATATATGTGTGTGTGTCTATGTGTTTAGCCAGCTCCAGGAGGCACTACCCTATAACTACGACACTCCTTCATCATTCAGACGAGCATATTAATATACCTTTCAAAGTACTTACGTTTTAATTTCCAAGATGTGAGACAAGTCATGGTTTCCTTACTTCTGCTTGTGTTTTCTTTAAAAAAACAAAAACAATTGCTCTCCACCCGTCACTTGCTGACAGAAACAAATCGTTTGTAAAGGTCTGATAAACCGTCAACTTTTCGTATTCTAAACTTTGAGCAATGCTTTCAGACGTATGACTCGCCGGAGAATATTGATCATCCCCCACTACTAGGGGGGAAAAATAATGAAAACTTTTGTCAAATTACTAACACTCTATTGGCAGAATGGAAATCAACAAAGGAAATTGATTTGGGTTCAACGCACGCTAATTAAAAAATCACGAATGCAACTGTTTCCATAACACTCCAAGCCCAGACGACGAGGAACGGTGGCTTCCTCCCAACGTTGCCACAGAAGCCCCTAAATGGCGATTTATGCCGTTAAATATCTTTTGCTGAATGTTTACGTTAAACTTTCACTCAGCAAATGCATTCGTTAATTGAACGATTTCTTGTTATTGTATGCCGAGAATCGATACAAGTTTACCACGAACTGAAGTTATATAACGCAAGCATATGTTACACTGGAGGTTGAGAAGCCGGTCCTGACAGGCGAAGGAATAAATCAAGACGAGTTCTAAAATTAAAATCACCAGCTTGATAGACGACTAGAAACATTACAATGGCAGTTGTGTAAGAAGGGAGGGAGGTGGGCGGTGAACTGACCTGTTTAAAACCCGGATTGATGTCTAGAGAGAAGTTTTAAGCGCCAAAAAAAAAAAAAAAACAGTTTGGTCCATTATTAGCAAACAGAGGTTTACAATCAAAATACAAGTAGTGTAAGGAAACCCACTCAACTGCTTCTATAGCTCAACACAAATAAATATACACGATATAGTCATCCTATTTGTTTCTTAACTATGAAAATATGGCGAGCACAAAAGCCACTGACGGCTCAGACTTGCTTGACCAATTTATGAGCTAAACTTCATGAGTCTTGCAACACAACAGTTCTGTGGCAATATGAAAAGAAGTATGACTTTGTAAAATTAAAAACAATATTGGAGCTCAGAAAAATATCAAAAGAATTAACCTACAAAGGGGGGCTAAACTTGGTGAAAATTTAGTCTTAAACCTTAATAAGTAGCAAATAGACCAATTATATTATTTTTCGTCATCTGACACAAATTTGACATAAATTCTTCTATTGAAAATAGCTATCTAACAATTAAAGGCTAGAAAAACTACATCATAGTAAATGTTGACTTCAATAAATTATTTGTACACTTTACCTACGTACGCAAAAATAGCGTAACATCTTGTACCCCTCCTATCAATTGCACACCTACTTGTCTTGTTGGACAAGACCCATCAATGCATGGAAGAAGCTTTCAGGGACAACCCCCCCCCCCCGGCCCCCGCACAAAGAAAAACCACTAAGGAAATCAAATAATCGAAAGATAATTGTGTACAAATGTGTCATGGGTTGTACACCGCCGGCTCTTTTGACGGCCCAGTGGTTCCTCTAATATAAACCACGTCGCTTTGCGTGCCACAATGTCAGAGCCATAAGAATGGGGCGAAGAGGACAATCCCACAACGCGCCAACATTATGGGCGAAATAATTGTCTCAAGTTACGATGTTAAAAGTGAATTAAAATATAAAACTCCTTACACTTCAGAAAGACAAGGGGCGACAAACACCGTCTTTTTACTGGCCCGCCCCTGAGAGGGCATTTTTTTTCTATATATTAAGTGGCACCACTTTCCGGTGCCGCATTTCCTCGTTATGGCCCTGTCCCTGTGTTGCTTCGGCTTCCTTATCACCGCCAAATATTACAATCTTCATCATTTCAGTTCCACATTCAATGCAATGTGACATCTAGCGGTCGTGGTGCAAACACTTGAGTAACTACTCTTTACAGTAATTACAGTTCCTAGATTTTTACCCAAACCATTATTTTTTTTTAAATATTAATTTCTCTTTCAGCGCCAGGTGAGAACCTAAATTTGGCATAAGCGCCAGGAATAAACAAAAATAGGAACCACTGACTTAGCAACGTGCAAGGCGGATATGTCACACGCACGTTGAACAATACGACAATGTGGTAAGCAGACTGTATGTGAAATTATACAAGCAGTGACGTAGCTAGGGTTATAAACCCCGGTTGAGGACCAAGGTTTTTGTTTTTTGTTTTTTGTTTTTTTTTTGTTTTTTTTTTTGTTGTTTTTTTTTTTTTGGTTGGAGGGCAAAATCCTAGTCTAACTTGTTTTTAATCAAACGTTTTTTTGATATTTTTTTTTTTTGTTTTTTGTTTTTTTTTTGTTTTTTTTTTTGTTGTTTTTTTTTTTTTTGGTTGGAGGGCAAAATCCTAGTCTAACTTGATTGTAATCAAACGTTTTTTTGATATTTTTTTTTTCTATTCGGAATATGTAAAGCAGCACAAACACATTTAGAGCTTTCCCTAGCGCAAGAAAAAGATGGTTTAATGTAATATTTAAAATATTTGTCCCACTATCACTAAAAGATTATATGCTAGTGCTCAGCCGGGTGCAGTTTTTGTTACACCAGAAAATTTCAGAAAAGATTCGATGAGTCCAGGGGAGTCATTTCAGGGTTTTTTCTGTGGGGGGGGGGCTGGGGGGACCAAACCTTGGTCGGCTTGTTTAAGTTGCTTATGACTGAAGGCACCACAGTACATATCAATTTAAATAGAACCTTCACATTCAGTGGGAATGGGGGGAGGGTTAAACAAATGTCCCCCTACTGCTCTACCCAATTGACGTCCCCTGTAGTGGACGCTGTAAAATGTTATCTTTTGAATTAGCTCGCAGGTCTTCAGTATTGATTAATGCCGGTGAACCGTAGCAGGAATAATGTTTGCTTCGGGATATAAGGCAATTTAAGGGCAGTGTTGAGGAGAATCGATGCAGTCTAGCCAAGGTTTCGTGTGTATATCCATTGTTGGCCGTTCTGATTTTAGCGTGTCCAATCATGAGTCCACCTAACAAAAACAAAAAAAACAAAAAAAACTCTGTCAGAGCTCGTACTATCTACAAATACGGTTTCCGGAATGATTACGATACTAATTTATTTATTCGAAACTAGATATTCTAAGAGAATTTTTGTTCGATCTGAAAGTTGTTTGAATGGACGTTTGTTCGAAGTGAAATAAGTTCAGAGGTGATTTTCTTGTGAAGTTTCCAATGAGAAATAGGGCAAATGCAAATTAAAAAAACAAAAAAAAATTGTTGTTTTCCTTCCATGGAACATACCTCAGTAAGAACAACATTCATTCGTACTAATTGATCTCGTACTAATTTATGGACCAAAAAAAATATATTTTTTTTATTAGGGGTTAGATCTATAATTTTTTCACCCTTTTGAGCAAGCTGCAACATGTATGTTCCAAAAATGTGTGGTCCTGTAGGAGTTGGTTAAAACGGTATCAATGAGCAAAGCAGAAGGACAATTTAAAAAAATAAATAAATATGTTGTTTTTTTCCAAAGGAGTACCATTTGGTTAAAGAATAAAAACCCGGCGATGCATAATGAAAAAGACTTTATACTATTAAGTTTAAAAGTATAGAAAACGCCTTGAATTTTCGAGTCTTTGCAAAACACTGTCAGACCGTTGCGTCGTGTCACGTTTTTTTAAAATTCTGCATGCAACCGTAAACAGCCTAATGGTGTGTTACTATTTTACAAAGCTTGCATTTCAGGAAGAACGCTGGCATAAACAATGTCCCTTGCATATTGTTCTTTTCTTTAAAAAAAATGTTTCTTCAGTCATACATTATTTAGTCTCCTAGTTCGCATTAGGAATAGCATTGGCCCGTTCGCCGCCCGCTTCCCTCCCTTGCTACACAAGTGCCACCAAACGGGACAGTTACGCTGTGTGAATTTATATAATAGATCTGTGGGGATTGAAGCAAATACGTGTACTATTTAAAAGTAGAGGAAAAGTAGTTTCAGTATCCGACTGACATGGCAATTAAACCACCTGCAAGGGGTGTTGATGACCTGAATGCCAGTAAATGACAATAATATTATTATTTTGATATTAATATAAAATGTAAAACAAAAACAAGAGAGCGTCCGTTTCACTATCGCACATGTCTCCCATAAACGATTTTGGTCAATTATTTATTTCTAACAACTCCCTCAATGTTATTTCAATATTTTCACCGCTCCGTCGCCACTCTTGCATTGTATCTAAACGTCTTTCACACATCTCTGCGGCACTGTCTGACAGTATTGGCACACTTGGCACTTGCCTAGGGCCTCGCGCTTCTAGGGGGGCCCACACTTCTAGCAAGGCCTAACGCTTTTATGGGGGTGGGGGGCTCACGCTTTTTGGGGGGAGGGGGGTGCGCTCACACTTTTAGAAAGCTTCGCGCTTTCCGGGCGCCTCGCGCTTCTAGGGGCCTTGCGCTTCTAGGGGGCCCCATGCTTCTAGGGGGTCTTACGCTTTTATTGGGCCTCACGCTTCCAGGAGACTCACTCTTCTACGAGGCCTCACTCTTCTAGGAGACTCACTCGTGCTTCTAGGGGGCCTCATGCTTCTACGGGCCTCACTCTTCTAGGAGACTTACGTTTCTAAGGGGCCTCATTCTTATAGGAGACGCCTACTTCTAGATGCATCGTGCTGCCTATTTGGTTATTCAATATTGACCGATTTTGGTTATTATATTTGATTTAAAATCAGTGGACAGCAGGTTTCTCAATTTTAACCCACGATACTATCGACAAATTCCCAAAATTGAAATTATAAATGCGAATCTTAAGGGGAATATCTCTCATCAACAAGTTTTATTTCTACGCGATACGAAAAGAAAAAGTTTGATTACAATCAAGTTAGACTAGGAAGTTGTCCCCCATCCCAAAAAAAAAACACACACAAAAACCTTGGCCCATCCCGGCCGTAATAACCATAGCTACGTCACTGCTTGTATAATTTCACATACATTCTGGTTACAACATTGTCGTATTGTCCTTGTGCAGGAAATCACCGCACCTTTGTAGCTGGATTGGGGACGATTTCCCTCAGGCCGGTATGTTAAAATCCCCACTGAATACCCCCCCTCCCCCCCCCTTCCCCCTAATATAATTTCACATACATTCTGGTTACAACATTGTCGTATTGTCCTTGTGCAGGAAATCACCGCACCTTTGTAGCTGGATTGGGGACGATTTCCCTCAGGCCGGTATGTCAAAATCCCCACTGAATACCCCCCCTCCCCCCCCCTTCCCCCTAGAAACAAACGAACCGGTAGCCTGCATCCATTGGACCGCAGAAACATCGCTGGGAGGTCTACTCATATCCCTACGTACAAGAGGTACAGGGGAAACGTTATTTTACAACGTACTGATGTGACGTCCACTGTCGTTACCGCTCTGAGAAGCCACAAGGTAGAGGAATGGAGGAGCCTCTTCGGACGGTTGAAGTGACCTCCCAAACAGAGTGATCAAGCCAGATCATCAAAACTATTTTATGTTGATAAATTTAAGTCTTGTCTGATCACATATACTTTTGTTACAAAGCAATCGACAATTGTGATGGATGTAAGGAATCATGGGAGGCAGTTGTCAATGATCAATAGAACCTAGCAATAGCTTACACACAAGTTGTATCTAAAGTCATTAAGTATTATAACTTATGTGTAAATCCATGTAAATAGATAATTTCATTTACTTTACGAAATTTGTTATGGGTTCTTTAAATATTTTTGTATTAATGAATATAAAGTGTGATTATGTCCCTCCTTAGACGCAATTAATGAATATATAGTGTGATTATGTCCCTCCTTAGACGCAATTAATGAATATATAGTGTGATTATGTCCCTCCTTAGACGCAATTAATGAATATATAGTGTTATTATGTCCCTCCTTAGACGAAATTAATGAATATATAGTGTGATTATGTCCCTCCTTAGACGCAATTAATGAATATATAGTGTGATTATGTCCCTCCTTAGACGCAAAAATTAGACGCAAGCAGATGACAAACGCAAAAGAGAACTGATCCCGATACACCTACTAATAGATTTCATATCACCATAACCATTATATCACCATAACCAATCACCAAAAGCCAATCACAAATTATTTTGTTACAGCTAAAAGCTGCCAGTGTGTCGTCTATTTTAGGCCCTAATGTTACGTATCGATTTGCTTTGGCCTCAATGCTGTAGTGGTTTACTCTCTATTGCGCATGCGCTTTCAAATTTTTGGATGTTTTTGTATTTCAAAAAAAAATGAAATTTCGTAGCTAGGTACCTCTTAAGTTAAAAATGACTTTCGGCTGAAACTGAAGCCAAAACCGAAGCGGAAATCGAAAATGAAATATTTAGATATTTTGAAATTCGTTCACGCATACATTCTGCGTACATCGAAAATGATGGGGGTGGGGGGGGGAGTATAAATATTTACATTCTTTTTATAAAAAATGAGATAATCGTGAATATTAATAAATAGGCATCTAATTTAACATCTTATTGTTAAAGATAGTTTATTGTGTTCTTAAAGATCGCTTAGTTTGTTGTTAAAGATCGTTCAGCTTTTTATTAATGATCGCTTTATTTGTTCATAAAGATCGGTTAGTTTGTTCATAAAGATCGCTTAGTTCTTGTTTAAAGATCATTTAGTTTGCTATTAAAGATAATTTAATTTGTTCAAAAAAGATCGCTAAGTTTTTAATGAAAGATCACTTAGTTTGTGTTATTAAAAGATCGTTTAGTTTGTTCATAAAGATCGGTAAGTTTGTTCCTAAAGATCATTGATTTTGTTCTTAAATATTGCTTATTTGTTCTTAAAGATCATTCAGTTTGTTCTTAAAGATAATTTATTTTGTTTGTATAGATCTTTTAGTTTGTTATTAAAAATCCTTTTGTTTGTTCTTAAAGATCGCTTATTTTGTCATTGAAGATCGCTTAGTTTGTTCTTAAAGATCTTTTAGTTAGTTCCTAAAGAACATTTAGTTTTCTGTTAAAGATCGCTTAGTTAATTCTTACAAATCATTTAGTTTACTACTAAAGATCATTTGCTTTGCTCTTAAAGATCATTTAGTTCGTTCTGAAAAATCATTTAGTTTGTTCTTAAAGATCGCTTAGTTTGTTTTAAAGATGGTTTAGTTTATTTTGAAATGTCGCATTGTTTGTTGTTAAATATCGTTTAGTTTTTTCTCAAAGATCGCTTAATTTGTTCTTAAAGATCGCTCTATTTGTTTTTAAAGATCGTTTAGTTTGATCTTAAAGATACCTTAATTTGTTCTTAGAGACTGTTTCGTTTTTCTTAAATGTCGCTTAGTTTTTTGTTAAATATCGCTTTCGCTGAGTATTAAATGATCGTAAACCTCAGTCACTTTCGGATGGCCGAAAGTCTAAGTCAATTTCGGCCGAAACCGAAAAAAAACAAAGTTAACTTTTCTCTTTCGGCCGAAACCGAAATTAAGATGAAAGTTAACTTTTCAGCTTCGGTCAAACCGAAACTTGACCGAAAGTGATAAATGACCACTTTCGGCGCCGAAACCGAAGCCGAAGTTCGGTCGGTCTCTTCTTCTTGGGTACATTCATATCGGAGGCTGGAAATAGGATGTGCACATTTTCACGTAGATGACAATATATTTCAATCCTATGACTTTACATTTGTGAAAAAAGAGATGTTACATTCTCTGTTTACAAATGTACAGCTGTTTGCGAATAAAGAAAGTCAATGGCGATAACAAATCTTATGTATATTCATATAAGTATACCCATTAATATCAAAACCCAATCATTTTACACACTTGAAAAATTAATTTTGAAAAATAGAGATGGGTTAATATTTACTTTCAAAAAATTAAAATATATTTTTGTTTTTACTTTGCAAAATGTAAACAGATTTGTATTTTATGAGATTAACCATTTAAATTTAAACAAAAACAACTACACTCAAATCTGTTATAGGCGGGAAAAACTGTTGCGAGAATCTTTTATAGATAAAAGAATTCTTTGTTTAACGAGTTTCTGAGAATATATATTTTTTTTTTTAAAAAGGCAAAAATGTTTTATCAATTTTATGATAATATCAAAATATATCAAATTCCTGTAAAATAAGACATATTTATATGGTATATAGAGTTTTTGGTGTAAATTTAAGATTAGGTTTTTAACAATTTTTTGAGAAAAAATGTTATAATTCAAAGGCACGAAAACGGGTACATCTAAAGAATTTTTTCTGACGTAGTATTTGTCCCTCAATTAACTTCTTTAGTGACAAAAGTGATATAATTAGTGATTACTGAGACTGTGTAATTTAAGGTCATGTTTAGAGGGGGAAAAAAGTAGTTTAGGAGCGTGAAAGGGAGTAGGGTAGGCTTATAAAATATAGCAGTTAAATACTTCTCAAAACTTAATGATGTTAGAAACGTAAATATCATTACAATTTTTAAAGTTATGAATTGTGATGAGTTTTTGAAATAGATGTTAGAAATATCGCAAAGGACCTACCATTATAATCCCTATAACATCGGATCATTTATTCTAGTATATAATACCTAGGCAATGCATAAAATGCCAAGGCAAAGTATGTAACTGAATCATGAAAATAAAATAGCTTATATTTAACCTAAAACAGCCAGGCATTCTATATAAAGCCTAGGCATTCTATACAATGCCTGCATTTCATAACTGCCGGTAACATATATATAAGAATGAGCTATGCTGACATAACGCCAAAGAACCGATAAGATTTAAGTACGTTCGGATTCTTAAAAACAATCATAGTTATTTTCTATCATTGTGCGTAAATCGAATAAATTTAAATGCGCAAAAAATATTTTAAATCATCTTTTATTTTAGTAGAATTTGAAGTATTATTATTATAAATTACAAATACATTTAAAGTATCAACTAAGGACCTATTTTATGCATTTTATCCCAATGTAAAAGTTATGAAAAAAATATTATAAAAATATTATGATCTAGGAATTGCATCTTAGTCACATGTATTGGGGAAACCCAAACATATGTTATTCTTAGTGCGTTGTTAATATTGCGAAATAAAAATAAAATTAATTTGAACTGAATAATTACGCAAATGACGTCATACCGCGATTGTTTATTTTGGCCACAGCTCTAAGTTTCTTTGATTTTATAACCGTGCGTAACAAAACTGATCATGTATTTTCCTCTTCGTCAAATCAAAATTAATAAAAATAATAGATGGCTTTTTAAATTGGTAACATTTTCTAAAATTAAATACAGCTTTAGTTTTTTTATTTTTAACATTTAATAAGTTTTATACTTTTGATTCTTTCTAAAAATAGAAATTATGAAAGTTATAAAGTATTAAAAAAACGTAACCTTTACATATACCTTTAACACGAAAATGCTGTTTAATGCTTTCAGTGCAGCGTAACTTCATATCCATATAGCTTTCACTCATGCACTTAACTTTAAACCAAATAAGAATAACGCGACATGTGAAATGGAAATAAAAATGTTTTTGCGTGAGTAAGGGGGTTACAAAATCGTGGTTACTTTTTTTTTTTTTAAACTCCGTTTGATTTGCGGGGGGGGGGGGCTGGGGGGCGTATAGTAATACGATACTTCTATTTGCCCAAGGAAGCACAAGATACGCCTCAGAATGAATTTGACAAAAAAGCTTTTATAGGTTTAAAAATACAATTTATATTACACAAGTAATAAAGAAATGCCTACACTTTTGAAATTGATGTGTTTGTTTGATTTGCAAAATGTTGAGGGTTTTCTAAGGAATAGAAGTAGTCTTTCATTTTATGTTCACGACGTATTCCAACATAATGGTAACCAGGACCAAGAATTCTGTGAATATCTTTATTAAATAATTTTGTTGTTAAGATTCCCATGGCCGATTGATCGAACCTATGAGAAAAAGAAAAGTAGGTTACGTTATCATAAAATTATACATATTTTTAACGCTTTCTTCTCAACATTGCAACAACAAAACAAAACAATATCTTTTCTTTATTGAAACGCCAAAAACAATTATATATTTATTAGTCGAAAAACATGGGGGGAAACGTGTTATGGTATTGTTGGATAAACTTTTATTCTTTTAAAATGAACCTCTTTTTTAATTTATTTCGCAGAGATAAGGGTAATAATGTAAAAGAAAATGAGTTTTCTTAAGATACAATTTTTTTAAATAAACTTCAACTAGAGCAATGGATATCAAGGTAATCCATTGATCTTGTGCTAAGTAAGAGGATTTATACCAAATTTAGAGGCTATGTTACCAGACAAATGAAGAAAATTAACCGTTTGAATATTTGAAATAGTGACCCCTTGTTTTTTAAGTCATCGAATTATGAAAATGATAAAAACAGTTTATTAAAATATTATTAGTTTATCTCGTGCAGTCGTGAGCGCGACATTCGGTCAATGAACAAAGAGATCTCTCCTCATTTAAAAAAAATAATAACTTAACATTTTCAACTTAACGTGTTTAATCGATTCTCACCTGTGGCACCTGGGTTCAGCGACGGGTTTATTGCAGTTTACCACTGTTGCAGGTGGAACAGGACAGATGCATGATGGTTCCAGTGCACAACGGGCCCACGGCTCTAGGACGGCGTGTATGACAAACGGATCGTTCTTGTACATGCCGTTGTTGGCTTCGATTTCAGGGAATGGAGAAAAAGCACACGGACTCTCTCCGAAATAATCAAACATCTTGAAGAGAAAGAGCTTAGTTAAATCGTTGGTTATTTAAAAAAAAAAAAAAAACATTTAAAATTTATTATTTTTCTAATGTTTCTTTAGTAAATTCAAACCACATTTCAAACTTTTCCCGCTGTCATCTAGTATATTATTGACACGATGGCCCCCCCCCCCAAATATATATATATATATATTTTAAATAGATTATTTCTTCTAAAAGATATTAAGATATCTAGTAGCTTTCAAAACAGTCCTAGAAAAGAATTTTCTAACAAGAACAAGCGTTATTTGGGGAACAATAAAAAAAATTAAAACATAAAAACGAAACAAACATAAAGTAAAAAATCCTAGTTTTCTAACCTCTCTCATTGTATGCAATGAAATTCTGGATATGAAGTCGCTTCTGTGATACTGCAAACCGAACGTTCTTGTCCTGTTTAAAACTTTGATGATGTTTGGCGACCAACGAATGGAAGCATCTTGGTATACAAGTATTTGACGAGCCTTCTCCATGGTGGCCTGTGCGTCATAGAAGGAAATCATGAAGCATTGAAAAAATAAATTAAGAATAAAAATATTTATAATTACAGTGGAACCTCTCATAACGAGTTTAATTCGTTCCAGACTCTTACTCGTTAAGCGAAACACTCGTTAAACGAAACATTTTTTCCCATACAAATCAATGTAAAATATGATAATGCGTTAATACTGAAAAAAATACTAATTTTTCAAAAAAATTATTTAACATTTATTCAAATAAAATTACTTATGAGTTGTTAAGGAGTGTAACAACTTGGAATACAATTTACATTTGAAACAAAAAACGGAAATAAAAATATGAATTTATGACAAATAATTAATCCTTTTTAACTAGAAAACTGTCTAAAGACATCTGTTTTTTCCGACGCTTCAAAATTTGACAAAAATGTGTCACAGCATTAGCATTGAATAAATGTGTAGCACGAATAGCCACGCTCACATCTTTGTTCTCGCTTTTCAATGATTTTACGTTTCATTTCAACAGTTATTTTTTCTCTTTTATGATTGTCTTTTTGTGTTGTTTTTTTTTCGAAGACATTTTAGCATAGGTTATTACACTTTGTCTGAATACAAAATTTGTAAAAACTGGTGATCACACACGAAAACAATACGCTAACAGATCGAGTGCTAAACACAGACTAATGCAATGGTTCTCAACCTTCCTAGTGCCGCGACCCTTTAATACAGTTTCTCGTGTCTTGGCGACCGCCCAGTAACGTAATTATTTTCGTTACTACTTCATAGCTGTAAGAATATGTGTTTTCAGATAGTCTAAGGCGACCCACGGAAAAGGGCCGCGCTACCCCCAAAGGGGTCAAGGACCCACAGATTGAGAACCGCTGTACTAATGCATCGGCGCGGAAGTCCCGGATCACAAATGAATGTCAGAAAAACGGGACTCCCCTTTCTGCGTAACTCATGCGAAATATCGCTCGTTAAGGGAGCAACTCCTTCACATTTTTTGTGTGCTCGTTATGAGAGGTCCTGGTTATGAGAGGTTCCACCGTATTTTTATTAAATGCAGTATTTTATCTATCTTAAATTAATCTTTTTCAAGAACTGGATCAATTGTAAGCCTCACTCATCTACGTAAATTTAAGGGCAAGAATGTTACACAGAAAAAGTTTAATGTGTGGCGACTGTTTTCAGAATCAAACACTGGATATTATTAATTCCCGAGTGGATCTTGTCCGCTCCACAGGGACATAAGTAATGAAATTCAAGTGCATTGCAAGTGTCATTATTATTACGTCCCTTTGAAAAGATACCGCAACGTCCTAGTCTAACTTGATTGTATGCGAATTATTTTCCAAAATAATACCAGTTCCATCTGAAGTATTTTCTCAGTCACGATTTGACCACAAACCATTTTAAAAGAGAAATATGCTGATGACAGCTTAAAGGACATGATCAATTGGTGGATATATGGCGCGCCATCTGGATTTATTAGTCAAGATTTTGCACCTATTCCAATTGTACACGCGCAAAAAGGTTGCATTGCTTCAGCTCGTACGAAAAATAATAGGAAGAAAAAAACTTAACGTGTCGGCGAGAAGCCTTCGTCAGTGAATAGCAGAAACAAAGAATAAATAATGAAGAAATATTTCAATTAAAACCTTAGCTCAGTTTACCGGTTTTGCAAGAGGTTGACAGCAATCTCTGAGCAGGTAAGAGGCTTAAAATGATGACATTGGCTTTGGGGGGTGGGGGGGTGGAGGACTTATAAGTCTTTCTAGCCATTTCAACCATAAGCAACACAGCCATTATGCATTAACTGTAAAATAAGGTAGACAATCATCCCAGAAGGTGTTTGCGAAATAGATGTGTCTTTAGATCGGTTTTAAAGGAAACCTCGTCCACTTTCAAAAGATCAGCATACGAAAAGCGTTTAACGATGTTAAGCCATTCACTGATATTTTATGATTTGAGATTTTTAAGAATTATAGTATAGGCAAATGAATTAAATTTTCCATTCAGATGGTCGATAGCGAAATATATATTTGGGTTCCATAAAATGTTATACATCTCCGACGTTGCGATTGTACTGACCCGGATAATCACTGGTTTCCAGGAATAGCAAATATTTTCTTTCATGTGAGGGGGGAATTTTTCAACAGGAAATCTCAACAAGTGACATCGGCAATTTCTTTCAGTCTTTAAAAATATAAAGTAAAGAAAATTATTAGATTGATATGATTTTCGGTGCTGGAAATACAGTTATTAACATTAAATATGTTTTAACATAAGCTTTACAATATTATTTCTAATATTACTAATTTAAAAAAAAAAAAATTAAATGTACTTTCAAAAACAGCATCTCTTATTGATTTCCCTTTATTCTTAGCGGACACTATCTCTTTTTTAGAAAAAAGAAAATGAAAAATTAGTATAATAACATATCAATTTAATGAGCTAATATGGGATGATTTATTTAACTAATATGAATACCCGCATTCTTTGCTCTTCTGTAAGTCCAATGTCAAATAAGACCACAGTAATATTAGGCAATATAGGAAAGACAACGGTGTGCAGATTGTGAAACATGGCCTGCATTTCGTCATAATGGTTGGAGGAGCTGGCTGACAGGAAGATGATGTCATTCTCTGGGATGGAATCTGTCATGGACAAGATGTTGTCTCTCTGTTGGTTTGACAGTGTCAGGTTGGGAGACATGAGGACATCTGTGAGTCTCTCATCACTCGAGTTACTCAGTGGACGTGTACAGTTGGGAGTACACGCTGGTAAATAAAATAAACTTTAAGCTATTTGCCCTTATATAGCAATTTATATGTACAGTTGGGAGTACACGCTGGTAAATAAAATAAACTTTAAGGTATTTGCCCTCATATAGCAATTTATATGTACAAAAATGTTTAGTGGACGAGTTTTTAACTTAACTGTTCTTTTTGTCGTAATCATTATTGTCATCGATATTTGTGTCTTCAAAATAACACTTAAACACATCCAAGTGCCATTTCCCCCTATTACGTCAGCCACACATTCCATGGTATTGGTTGCTCTGTTGCACTAATTGATTTCATACTGATCTACTTTAAACTGGAAGATATGACCCGCTGTTCCCGGGACACAGATGGGAGGCATAGTGTGCTATTTGTGCTTCTTGTTTCGAAGAAGTCTCAACGTCTATAATTTTAATTTTTACGTAAGTAATTGAATCACGCTATGATGTATTGTATTATCAAAGAAAATTACGTAAACATGTATTTAATTTTATGGAAATTAAAAAAATAAAAATCTGTACTATTTACGGATTTTAATATAGGAATCTTCATAAATTTTCCTTAAATTTTGCCTCACTCCAGAACTATATTTTTCTATAATGGTTAGATACATCATTTTTATACCTTTAGAAAATCTTAACTTATTTTCATGTCTGTAACATCCTTTTTTTAATAGATATATATTTTTTTTTAATCTCATAAACATTTACCCACACTTTCTTTTTCGTGATTGTATTTTTCCCAAAGTAAAAATAAAATTATTTTTATTTTTAAAAAATTCTTAATTCATTGTTTCTTTAAGCCACTGAATGATATTTTCGAGAAATGAAAGCATTATGGCTTTACTTTTAAAGATTAAATTTTCACGCAAAATTATTTGATTATAAAATATTTTGTACACATTGCTCCCTCTCTTTCTCTCTTATGCACTTGATATATTTTTTTCCGTCTGTAGTGAAGTTAAACAAGCATTATTTTGATTGGCTTGTCTCGAGTGAAGTTAAACAAACATTATTTTGATTGGCTTGTCTGGTGTGAAGTTAAACGAGCATTATTTTGATTGGCTTGTCTGAAGTGAAGTTGAACAAAACAATATTTCTCTTGCTTTATGTAATACGATAGAAAGCTAGTATGAACTTATAGAAGGCTTTCTACAGTTTGTCTTTACAAGCCGTACAACAGGATATGATATAGCACAGGTGATAAAAGAAAACATTGGAAGAACCGCGTATTCCACTATCGGATTGTCTTGATAAGACAATCCAGCCAACATGGCAGACAAGTAAATAGGTGCAGATTACTTGATTAAGGTAAGATTACTTGAGCCTTATGAAACACATTTATTTTCATGCCACACGCTTATTTTGTTAGGAGACGATGCCACGGGATGCATTCCTGAAGCCATATCAAACTTTAGGACTTTACACGATTTCTACAACTTGTTTACTTTTAGTCCACAGCGATTCAAAAGCTGGCAGAAGAGTTTTGGTTGTTCTCTTCAGGCCATGTCTTACACACGATGGTCAGACCATGTTGAAAGTATAAAGCCCCTTTTGGCCCACCTGCCTGGCATCATATTAGCATTAAAAAAATATCTTGGGGTTGAACCTAACTGACAAAACAACAAAAGAGATCAATGGAGCTTTGTCTTTTGTCACCTTCTTTATTTGTGTGATAATCTCGTTTGCATGGTAGAAAATATAAGTTCAAATCTTTATCTCTGACAAGGTTATTCAGGCCTGAAATGCAACGCTGGATGTCGACGTGTCCAACTTAAAAGCTGGATTTTCGCGTTCTCCCAATAAAAGTGCTTACGAATGAATGACAGTTATAATTTAATACACAGAGGACCATATCTTAACCGTCACATGCAGGTAAAATACTGAACGTAATTATATAATTATTATGTTAAATGCATTTATAATTTATAACAATAGTAATTAGATATAAAAAAATACATATAGTTAAATATAAGGAGATAGTTCGACTTCCGTAATATAATAGAAAATCCCTATCACTGTTTTTAAGAATCCAGTCGTATTTATACTGCTTATTTTTTAGAATGTTTGATGGTTAGTCAATAGCTCCACTGCTATACATACACACAACACACAATATCTCTATCTCAATACCCCCAAACACACACACACACTCACACACACACACAGACCCAGACAGACAGGAACGCCTTGTAATACTGATTTAAAAATTAACATACGATAAGATTGGTACAGTGTTACCTGTATTTCCATGACAAGGATTCTCAAAACTCTGTTTATGAGAATCAGTGGGGGGCCCCAACAAGATCTGAAAATGGTTTATGAAGTCATTCAACGTCCAATTCGTCCCGCTTATGGGAGTGGCCAATTTCGATAACCTTGAAGAGCTTCCTCCTGTAAAACATTTAGTCACATGATGTTAAGGCTAGAGTTCTCAAACTAGTGTTATGCACCGTTATAGGGCTTTACAAATGTAATCTGTTTTAAGATGAACAATAAGTAAAGAGGCCTGAAAATCCATATACAAAAGAAAACTAAACCTAATCTAGTGATATTAAAAGCAATATTTAATTTGATTTTAATATTAAGTGAATGTAAAAATACAAAATTAAATTGACAAAAATAAAAACTATGTGAACTTAAAGCACAGCAAGGGATTATGTGTAATACTAAAAATTTTACAATAACAATACACACACTCACATGGGGAAACGGTTGTAAATTCTCTTGATGTGTAACCCTGATCAGTCTCGTAAGGCTAACGGTCACAGTTGACCGCCGGAAATATATTGAGGCAGTCAGAACCAATGTTCCCTTTAAGCTGCGCGGCGGCGCAGCAATCTTACAGACGCCGCGCAGCAGTTTTGGGTACCGCAAGCTAATTTCCACTTAAGTGTGTGTTTGTGTCTGTAGGCTGAAAATTTTGCTAACAAAAAAATTGATGCTGTAAAAATTTGCACACAGCTTTATGATTTTGCACACGAACCAACAAACCTTAGAGGGAACATTGGGCAGAACCCTCCAGAACAGAAAGTCTAGAAATCCTAACGCCAGAAATGATTTTCTCCCATTTATGCAGGCACACACCTGGAAGCGTAGACAAACCTTCCCAGACAAAGGTCGTGTGGAAAGGAATGGCTGCACTTGTCACCAATTTAATTGGTGAGTCAGTAACAACAAAAGATGGTGGGGGTGGGGGGTGAGAAGTAAATGAAGCATGCCAGGGCACGACACCACGTGGGGTGAATGAAAACTAGGTCAACAGACGTGCTATAATATTAGGCTCTTTGACCTTTATAACTATTTTAGATCCTCATGACGTTTTGCTTAAGTGGTCCAAATATATAACGGTGCTCAGCGGTCTTATCAAATAATCATTGGCTTTTCGTAGCGTCAACAGGTAATCAGCGATGAACAAAAAGTTTAAGAGTCGTTAGTCTCCAAGAGATGATGGCGCTCTGGAAACGTCTCTGGGGAAGCTCTGAATCCTGGACAACGTTACTTAGAGGAGAAGCATATGTTTTTTTTCGAATCAGCAGATCCTATTCTCCTCCCATTACGTAAGGCTGCGTTAAGATGATCGATACAAACTTGAATTTAAATTTTTGGGGGGGGGTTTTGTAGTTGTATTTGGGTTTTAGCTGCTAGGCTGCGGAGGTTTCGTGTGATAGTTGTTCCCTTCTTAGATGAGGCAATATTTGATTTATGTTTGAACTTTACAAGAGCATGTATGTCATGCTCTAGTCTGGAAACCCCTAAAAACACCGTCTCAGTATCCCAGACTACGTTACACGTCAAAACAATGGACAGCGCCAAGACTTTCATTAAAAAACCAAGGCTGTTCCCACTATCACAGAAGAAAGGAGAAAATTAAACTCTTAAATAGACCTGATGTATTTTAGTAAAGGGTTTACATTAGCTGGGCCACACCAGAGATCGGTCTGAAAGAGAGTATATGGTGAAGCAAGCCAGAGACCCCTTTGGGCTCTAGCGCTACTGATGATGATGTTCAATAAGCATTTGGAAACATTCATGTGCCTAAAGAGAGCCTGAGCATAGATTTATTTATCTTTACAACTGCTGAAGTTAAAGGGATGAGGTGAGACATGATGTTTGCGATGGTATTAGCTGAGAAGAGAAAGAGGGTGGGGTTTTTGTGAGGGGTGAGCTGGGGCACGATAGGACAAAGGAAGGGGGAGGGGGTAGGGCTCTATGATAAGAGGACAATCATCCGAGTTGGAGGTGGGACAGGGGAGACTCGGGATTGAGGCGGAGGACTGAAGAGTAATTTAGGGTTGGGCTTAGCCTCTCACCTTCTGATCGATGGTACCAGCTCTCAATAATCTTTGTATTTGTTGACAAGTAAGCAAGAATCAGAAGCGCAGACACTGCTCCGAACACCAACAAGCTCTGGAGACCTGATTGAGAGAGGAATCGTGTTAACGCAATGAGTACGAGCGGGGAAATTAATGTTTCGACCTTACTCTTCATTGACATGTTTGTAACATGTAAATGTAAAAAAAACAAAGCTTCTTAATCAACTCGTGTATACCAAGAGGGTTTATTGATAATAAACTCTGTCCAACGGCAATATTTAAATCAAATTTATCATTGATCAGCTGTTTCTAAAAGATTCATTTAACCATGATAAACACCGTTTTTGCCTGGAGCTAATGCTAGGAGAGGACCCCGTTGCGTTTAGAAAATATTCAGCTCCCCAACCCGCCACCATTTACTACAAAACCATTCAACTTTTTTCGAAATACAGTAAATAATACAAAAAAAATGTTAAAGACGCGAAAATGATCAGCCGAGGAAACTCGAGCGTACCCCAAGCTAACCTAACCGAGGAGCAAGAAGTTCTTCAAGTAGTTTTAAGTTTGGCATAAGTTGTGATATGTATATTCTCTTACAAGTTTGTAGGCGTTGAAAAATACATACGGAAATAGATGTAATAATAATAATAAAGTTCATTTAAAAAAACACGCTTCATCCCCAAAGGCTCGAAGCGCGGTACAAAGTCAACAAAAAACATATTTATAATTCACCACATTTAAAACAAACACAACACTACAAAAACTAATTACAAGCATACAATATCAAAGTCTTTCTAGCCATTTCAACCCGGAGCAACACAGCAACACATGGAAAATAAGGTAGACAATCATCCCAGAAGGTATTTGCGAAATAGATGTGTCTTTAGATCTGTTTTAAAGGACTCCAGTGTCTGGTTGTTTCTAAGATCGACAGGAAGGGCGTTCCAAATTGTTGGAACAGCAAATGCGAAAGTGCGCTTTCCGTAAGTCTCAAGGCAAACACGTGGTGTCGAGAGTTTGCCACTATCGGATGAGGCCTCGAGAGATGACCCATGTATTCCGCAGTCGTCGAGAAAGTCTATCGACGGCGCCAGGTCATGTAAGCAGCGGTAGCACAAAGTTGCGATTTTGTACTCTATGCGAGCACGCACCGGCAGCCAATGTACTGACTGATTCACCTTTTCTTATTTCCCCCCAAAACTCACCACCATAAAACCCACTTCCCCCCGACCCCAGCTTACTGCAGCTGTAACTGCGTGTCTTCAACTCCAGGCGACCTCTCAGGTTAACACCACGAAGCCTCAACCGACCGAACGAAAGTGTCAGGGAGTGGCCGAGCGGTCCAAACTGTCTCAAATAGCTGGTGGTCTTGAGCTCAATCCCCCCACCAAAGCCAACATCCCAAGCACCCCGGGTGGATGGGACTCGTTAAGGGGTTAGGCGCCCGAAAATATCTAAAATTTTCAAAAATTGTCTATTTTTTTATTTTTTCATTTTTACGAAGATAAACATTCTTAGAATCGATTACATATCAATTGATACTACTTTTTAAAAGATTTGTTGTGAAACAACTGATATTTAACACCCCACCCCACTCTAAAAATTGACCTAATTTTGGCAATAAAATAAAATTCATACATATCCCATGTTTGAGACCTCAAAAAACTAGTTTTAAATAACATAATATGCTATTATTATATATCAACGTAAAGGTAAATTCAAGCAGATTTTTTTATTTTTAGAATCGAAGTCAGTAAATATAATTGCTACAAATAATCGGATCCACAAGCGAAGTATGTGTAGGATTTTCTTCCCTTCTATTTATACAATTATTTTACCGATTTTCATTGTTCCGAACCGAGGGTAACCAAGATACCGTTGACTTGCACATGCGCAAATGCGTTGTTTATGCGTATTTACCGGATCATGGTTCTGTGTACAGAACGACATTTTGCAAACGAAAGCATCAGCATATTTTGATTTTAAAATACACGTTTACAACCTTACCCATTCGGTAAAAGCCAGAAATTCAAGGTAAGTATACTAAAAAAATGACCTTAATTTAGCAACATGCAATCGGTGATAGTTGAAATTATTCAGTTCGGACGTCAGTACTGTCACTGTGTTGCCTTGATGATTGATCGTGCGTGTGGATTGTTTGTGAGTTTATGTTTAGCTTATGCCTTATGCGGAGAATTACATAAGTTTCTACTATTAGTCTTCATATTTACCAATCAAGTGAATTGTTAAATTATATGAATCCTAAGCCTATTTATTTATAGTTGTCTAACAAAACAACATTGATAAATAATCGAGTAGTTCAAAGTAATAGCATAGGCTAAGACTAAGGCTAGGACTAAAACAACAACGCAATATGCCGTAATACTACTATAATTATGGCATGGTATTAGCATTAGCAGTATGGGGAAAATAATTCGTATTAGAATCTTTTAACTCAAATAGTTTAATCTTAGCCTTATTCATTTTTTTTATCTGCATACAATTATTAATAGTAATAGCTAATTAGTTTTATATTATTTCTTATTTATAAGATCAGTTCAATTGACTAATAATAGTAATTATAATAAAATAAGTATTTAGTTTAGCAATCCTAAACATCTAAATAATACTAATAGGCTTATTGAGATCATTTTCAATATATTATTTGCTAAATAATGTTTATATAATTTTTTAATTCCATTCCAGCCCCCAATTAGTTCTACCGAGCCGAGCAAAAGTTAATTCTTCAGTGACAAGAATTCTACAGAGGGACTGCTAAACATTGATTTCGAAATGATCATAATTCAAAGCTTTTACCAATTTTCTTCTGTCTGCAGTGGAATGGACGAATTGCAGAAGCCATAACTTACAGCTGATTGCAAAACAAAATAGTAAATACTATGAACATAACAATGACTAGATTGTGAGTGGTTAGATTGTTCATATCAACAACTGGATAACCAAGTCATTATCAATTATAGACTCTAAGGCCTGAAGGACAATGGCATGGACTATGAAAAGTTGCAATCTATGATATCTGCGATAAACAATCCAGCTGCACCGCAAAATTTATAACCTGCGCAAAGTATAAAAACTGCGCTATGCCGAAGACATGAAACATTTATGAGCAAGTATCTTCCCAATTATTACATTTCTAATAGACAAATAACTCATTCACCTCTGGTATGAGGGACATCTTTGATGAAAGAAGTACACAGAATAGGTACAAAAGTTTCAACATAGCATTGCTGCCATGAAACTATGCTTTAATTTCAGTGATGGTGACAGCAACATAACCTTGTCATCTAAGCATGGTTAAAAGGATCATGGACAAAAGGGTTGATTGGGGACTTTGGATAACTTGTGTTATATTATAATGCTGAACAAAAAATTCTAATACAACACAAATTAGCTTTATTCCAGAGGAAAAAAATTTTTTGTTTAAAATTGTGATTTTGACGAGAGCACCTGATGAAGTTCAAGAAGTTAAAACCCATGTTCCTGGTGCATTCAACAGTTCAATAATATAAGAAACCACCATGTCCATGTTGCTGAACAAAAAAAACTATGTAAAAGAACTTCATTTTCATATTAAACTTAAAATTTTTCACTTTTAAAGTTTAAAATTGATTTTTCTCAAAATTGTTTTTTTCTGTTGTTTTGTAACGTAGAATTCTAAAATCTCAGCTAATATACAAGCTAGAGTAATAAAATTTGGTGTGTATCTTCCTTTAACTATTTTGTGGGTAATGAGCTATTCAAAAATCAATTTGGTCAATTACTTTTGTTAAAATAATTTTTTTCATATCCTAGGATGGTAAATTTTAAGCGTTTTCTGCCGAGGCAAATTTTAAAAATTAAAAAAAAAATGTTTTGAAAAGTTTTAAGGAAATTAAACTAGCTCAGTACCTCTAAATATAATTGAAGTTCATGAATCAATCAATTTTTAAGCAATATGTATGTTTGTTTTTAAAATTTTAGAACTCTACGAATGGGTATTATTTTCAAGATGGTTGCCATGGCAACTATATAATTTTTTTTATTTTAAAGCATGAAAATATATCTCCATTCATAGCTTAACATGACCATAATAAAATAATTGCTCTAAATTGGTTAATTAAAAAAAAAATTTTTTTGGTAGCCTGCCCCCTTAACCTTGGACGGCAACCCATCTAGGAGAAGGCAAACTCTGAATTTAAACCAGGAGCCAGAATGATCAACAAATTGATCGTGGGGCCCCTCAAATATAAGAAGAAGAAGAAGAGTGACAACACAAAAGTTACGCTGCAAACCGAAGAAACCCTATGGATTTGCGAGCACGAGGAAAGTCTTTAATAAAAATAGATAACCGAATTCTCTAAATATAAAAATTATGGAAATATGCAATGAAATATTATTTTGACATAGAAGATAAACAACAACGTTGCCTCGTAATAGGACGTTCAGACACACATTGGAACTAATATAGTTGAGGGTGTGTTGGCTCGGTTGTACCATCTGAGTCATATCTTCCGGTTATTGAATAAAAGTATTATTTCCATTAATCCATTTAAAGGTTTGGAACCAAGTTAGTGTATTTTTAATCGTTCTTTAAATTCGTAGACATGATAACTGCCCCAGTACCTTTAAATCTTACATCATTTTTAGAAATCTATGAATAGACATTAATTAATTCAAGATGTACACCGTTGTCATGACAGCAATATATATATCTGTTGAAATAAGCGCAGCTAAGGTCATATCAATGGGGTCAGCAAATTTGAAAGTGTGTCGCTGGTATCTAAAAGTAACAAAACATGCGCATCGACCGGTTTCATTTATCGGGCGAGGATTAAATGATATAAAAATAATTCGTTTGTTTCCCAATCTGTACGACCTTACCAGCGTGTCCCCCACAGAAGTCACAAATCTAAATGAGAACAACTAAAAAGTTCCTGTTATGACTAAGGGAGTTCACTGAATGACTGTGTTTTTTTTTTCACTCGTGAAATAATTCAATGTATATGTGTTGTATTTAAATTGTTTTAGTTGAAAAATGTGGCCTTAATTAAAATATCTATTCATTTGCTAAAAAAATGTATATGCACAAAGCAATTAAAAAAAACCTTTAAATGTGTTTAGATCAATAAAAGAATCCAAGGGGGCGACCATAAATTACGTCAAAGAAATAGGGGAGGGGAGTGGGGGGAGTGGGGGATGGAAATGTTTGACAGTTCTTGAGTAAGGGGAGGGAGGGAGGGGAGTAGATTAATTGACGTCAACAATCACGTTTTCCCTATTAAAATTTTAATCTTAAAAGTTGACGGGTTGTTAAATTATCTTTTAAAATGTATAAGTGTAGATAGTCATATGATTTTTAGGCTTTTAACAATATCAGATTTATTTAATGTGTGTCTGTGCACTGCAGATGGCTGGTCAGAATGTTAGCACACTTTGTTAGTGCAAGAGAAGTAAAAAGTTGGCCTCTCTTCACCTGTAGATTCTTTTGCAGGTATGTAACAAGGACAAGGTTCAAGTGGCAGGTGCAGTCAAGATAAAAGATAAACGCCAAAGACAATCGGGAACTGGAACAAACTCTCAAAAGAAACAGTTGAGGCGACAACACTTGACACATTTGCGCCTCATGCCTTCCAATCCTCAGGGCATGATAACCTTACAAAGTCGCCCTTGCAACCAGTGAAATATCCTCATCAACACCAGGCACAGAAACATTGCAAATCCCCTTTACATGTATACAAGCCAAAATGATCAATAAATTGATCGTAGGAAGTTATTATATAAAAGAAGAAGAATACGATATTTTAAGAATTGCGTGAATGTAAAGTGAGTAGCAATATTAACATCGCTTCATAAACGGTTTGCAAAATCTGTAACATCTATTTTGCATCACAATTCATGTTGAAAAAGCATGTTCAACAGAACCGACAATGCCCTCTTGAGCATAAGAAATTAGCACCTGCTCCTCAACAAAAAAGGATTCGACCAATAATACGAGTAGCTGCAAGGAGATAGGGAGAGCTTATGGCAATTATTGCTCACACCGAAATGCTTCTATTTTAAGTGCTGAATGGTTAGATGAGAGTGATGTTTGACTTGTCTGGTATATCAGTGCCGCAAGATGAAAATGATAAATCAGCTACTATAGACTAGACCCATCAGGGGCGTCATTTCATGTTTTTTTCAGGGGGTGGGGGAGGGCAAAACCAAAACTTGGTCGGGTTGTTAAGTTGCTTATTACTAGAGGCGCCACAGTACATAGCAATTTAAATAAAAACCTGCAAATTAAGGGGTGGTGGGAAATTCCTCCTGGCTTACCCAAATGATGTCCCTGATGCCCATTGTTACGATAGAACCTGTCTACTCCTTGAGAAGATGAAAGCCTCTAGAAACTATACTATAAGTGTAAGCTTTACTGACAATAACCATATGTAACCCACGAACAATGATAATAATAATTAGTCTTTAACAACCTTTCAATTGATTCTGCATTATAAAATTTAAGTGTACAAACTTTTTAAATTGTTGATTAAAAAAGCTAAAGATGTAACGAAATATTTTATCTACAATTTGGTGTCATTAAAATAGATCAGCACAAAGTAAAAATGTATTTATATTTGTATTTATAAATTTATTTATAATAAAATTCCTTTTTTTTCAGTGGGGTTGGTGTTTGGAAAATATTGACATATTTGAATAGGGGGGTCGTGGAAACTTTGACAGTTTTTGAGAAAATGAAAAGGGGGAGGGGGTGGGGAATTGCTTAAAATTGTCGAGGTAATGGAAGAACATATTTGTAATCTTATTTTATCTTGAGTAGCAATAGTCGTAGTATTCATCGTTATTCCGACTATTTTAGAATCAAAATTTTATCAATATACAATTATTTTCTTTATAATATGGAGAAGATAGAGAAAACGAAATGCATTTTAAATAATCGTAATCTAAGTGTTCTGCATCTTTGAAACATGCATGTAAACTAACATAGCGATTAGCCTACAAGTCGGTAAAGTAAAGCATGGTCAATAATGAGGATTCATTGTGATTAATTTTACAGGTTATAATTTTAAAACAAAACTTTTACAACGGGACGGATTGCTTTAAAAAAATGAAAAGTTTTTACTTGTTTATTTAAATAGATTCATGATTGATATCGTGTCTTATTCAATTTATTGGCAAATTTTGGAATAAACACTCAACATGACAGCTGGTGTTGAATTGTAAACGTAAGAATGTGTAACTTTTACTTTCAAGTGATGTGATGTGGAGAAAACTTTGATGCGATTAAAGATACAAGAATAAACAAAGTTGAATTAAATAAAACTTGGAACCACAACCTGTTAATTTTAAAAAAAATACATTATTGTATGAAAATTCAATAAATACATGTAATAATTATAGCATCTTTTGCAGATGTTCATGTACCCAAAATGAATATATTTTACATGTGTTTGTTTTTTTAGAATTAGAAATTAGTTTATAAAAGGAGTACTCCCTAAATGAAATGGTAAAATGAAAGGCGCTGTGTGTGTAAACAAGAATCCGTCCCGTAAAGTCCAATCATCCAGCAGACCCATAACAAATAATAGTCCATTCACTGTACTTACGATTTAGTTTCCGAAATGTCGGGAGAAACATAGCTTTAGACTTATGGGTTTTCCTTTCTAACTCAACTTTACACAAAGCAACATCGTTATCTTTCAAAGTATATCCCATGATTAAAAAAAAAACAAGAAAGAAATAAATAAATAGGGGAAGCAGAACAAAACATCAAAAAAATGTTTGTGTGTGAAGGTGTGGGGGGGGGGTGGGATAGGTTGCATGACAAATAAAGATCACAAAAAGGCGTGGCCGACAAGTGGCACGGACGAGGAACCAAACGTGGGCCAGGAGGATATGGGGAGGTGAAGAAGCGGGAAAGTTGAGACCAGCGTTTCTGTCAGAAATTTTACCCTGGAATGGGGGGCACTTCAGATTTTCGGGGATGGGGGGGCGCTATGCCAGTTGCCAGTGGCCAAAGGCGTAGTGAAGGGGTGGCAGATGGGACATACGTCCCGGGGCGCCAGACATGTGGGGGGGGGTGCAAAAATGGGCTTTAGTGGATTACATTGGTTGAATATAACCGGTTTCAGAGTTGGAGGAGGGCGTAAAAATGAATTTTGTCCCCTGACGCAAATCCCTGTAGATACGCCACTGCTAGTGGCGACAAAAAAGGGTGAATGGAGTGGTCCACCCAGGTGTCACTTTTTCTTTTTATACTAGTGTGGCATTTTTGGACAACTGCAGAGTTTGAATTGTGAAAGGGGGGATGGCAAAGATATTTGGCCGTTCATGGCAGCCTTAATAGTAGCTACGCCACTAGGCAATGTATCTGGCCGCTCATAGAGCTTTAATAGTAGCTACGCCACTAGGCAATGTATTTGGCCGCTCATAGAGCTTTAATAGTAGCTACGCCACTAGGCAGTGTATCTGGCCACTCATAGAGCTTTAATAGTAGCTACGCCACTAGGCAATGTATCTGGCCGCTCATAGAGCTTTAATAGTAGCTACGCCACTAGGCAGTGTATCTGGCCGCTCATAGAGCTTTAATAGTAGCTACGCCACTAGGCAATGTATGTGGCCGCTCATAGAGATTTAATAGTAGCTACGCCACTAGGCAGTGTATCTACCGATACCAAAATGGGCGATCATTTTCATCTAGAAGTAGGGCGGAAATCGATGGGGCCGACGAATCTTGATGTTAGGAGGGGACTTGGGTCCCAAAAACATTTTTTTCATTTCAAAATCAAAAGGTGTATTTTTGAGTATACTTGAATTCGATGTTTCCATTCTACCTTTTGAACAGGGAAGAACATTAGTAACATTTTGTTGGAGGCATTATTTAGCCCAGTGCCATATATAAACTGAATTCACTCCGTTTGTGGCACGCCCCAGGGTGATCATTAGGCACAGGCTTATAATCAACCCATAGTGTACCATTGATCAGCGTGATGGAAGGGGTGCATAATTAAGGGTGCTAAAGACAGTCAGGCAAACTCAAAAATGCAGGGGTGCCTTATTTTGGCGCATACTTGAATTTGTTGTTTCTTTCCGACAAACTTGAGATAGTATTTCAAATGTTCTGATTGGAAATAGCAAAATTAGCCATAATAATGACCAAAGACATCTTAAATTTCACACCAGCGGGACGTAAACTATATTCAATGTAGACATGTCACCCTTAGGGGTACGATTTTTCCTTAGATTATTCTCGCCCTTCAAATCATTAAAGTCCCCAGAAAATTTTCGATAAATTCAAAATACAAGAATGCATTTTTCACATATCTCAAGTTAGTCTTGCCACATTCCATACTTAATTGAAGAGCAACGAAAGATATCCTAGTTAAACAATATAGGTGCCACATAACCTTAGAACCATCGTGTGCGCCCAGCAACACCTACGACTGGAGGGTGCCTCGAATATTTTAGGAGCTTAAAGATGACACAATGTGATGAGGATATTTTCTTAATTATCATCGTCCCATGCAGTTTTGTCAAAAACGAAATAGCATGACCTGCTTGCGTTATGCAAAAAAAAAAAAATAATAATAATAATGATAACTATTTGAATAAAAATAGTAACGTGGATTTTATTTTGTATTTACATTATTTTTAGGAATAGGTACTTAATTAATAAATTAATTTTCAAAAAACAAAATTTAATTAAACAGGATTCCATCACTAAAAAGCACTGCAAACATTATTTTATTTGATGAACGCAGATGGAAAAAAAGGGACTTATAAGTATAATGCTTAGACTAACTTTTCTAAATATGTCCTAATTTGACGAGAAGCAAAAAGTTAATAATGGTTATTATAAGAAAGGTCTATACATAATTATGGGTTTTGAAAACTGGTCATTTTATAAATTGCATGTGAGTGGCTTAACTATTTTAAGAAGACAAGAGTTGTTTACAGAAGACATTATATTTATTAATGTGTGATTTCATCTAAGAGAAATGCGTATGCAAATAAAGTATACATTTTCCAATATTCAGTAGATTTAAATTTTTATTTGGCATTTAAAACTACTATAACTTTCTTAAATAGCCTCTTCGCTTTACTTTAAAACATTATATTTAAATCCACAGAATCTATTTTAAATCGATGAATTGGGAATAATATTTTTTTTTTAAATATGTGCCCAAAAAAAAAAAAAGGAATTGGCAGGATAATCGAAATGCTAGTTCACAACAAAAACAAAAAAATGTTGGAGTTGCAAAATATAAGCAAATAAAAAGAGCGATGTATACAACAGGGAATAAGACTGGCGCGGTGATTGCGATTTTTGTAACCGAATACTAGAACTTGATTAGCCTTAAGTTTATACGGATCATCAAATATATCGAGCCTAGCGATACTTTATAGATTCCATTAACTGTAATCGGTTAAAGGCACCAGTTACTATGCAATTGTCATTTTTTATATAAAAAAATATATTTTTGTTATATTGTTGTACACATTGTGCTCAGGCCGGGGGTTGGGGGGGGGTGGTGGTGGGCAGAGCCCACCCGGAGGGATAGCCGAAAGAAACACTGATGCTAACAATAATTATTTTTGAAAGCATGACGTCATCATTCAGTTTGTAATTAACATCCTTCCCTAGTTGAAATGTCATGCTTTTATTATAAAATATAATTTGAAAACATGAAAAGATTGCTCACGTTTGATACTTGGTGAAAACTCTATTAAAATTATAGACCTTAAAATTGAAGCAAATGTAGTTTAATACAGGGTTGTTAAAGCCTTTAAACTTGTCAGTTTGCAAAAAATAACTAAACAAAAAATACAGATAAATGCGAACGGGAATTAAGACTCCGACTCATAATCGAATAAAGTAAGCTCCTAAGAAGATTAGCCTTAACTTTACGGATCATCAAATATATCCAGCATAGCGATATTTCATAGGTTCAACTAATCGCAAAAGGTTAATGACACCAGCTAATATTCTTTTAAAAATTGTTTAAAAAATGAAAATTTTGAATTTGTTAAAATAAAATATACTTTGTTTTATTTTGGTACATATTTTTGCTCCGGGGGGGGGGGCACTTGACTTTCTATAGCTTTCCTTCTGATGTGGTTGAATTTTGAACAGCATTTTTAAAATATTTATTTAAATTAAAACAAAGAACTTTCTGTTATAATACCACTGATTTAAAGAAACTCACAACGAACTTGAAGCATTCCCCAATGCGGAACATATCATCAAAGATGAAATAGATCTTTAGCTATTAAAAGTCACTATGAGCTCATTTTTTTATTTTTTTTTAATAAAAAGAAATAAATATCAAAATTTTCCACCCATCATTTATTTTTTTTTTTGATGTGAGCAGAACGTCTGCGAGAATGTTTCAAAATATCAAAGTCTTTCGGTTTCGGCCGAAAGTCTCGTTAAGCTTTTGGTTTTCGCTTCGGTTGGGCGGAAAGGGACTTCTAGCTTTCGGGTTGGTTTTTGGTTTCAGCCGAAAGCGTCAAAACACATTATTTCGGTCTCTATCAAAGATATCTGTCACGGGTGGTCATCCATCGGTTGCGATTTTTAAATATTTTTTTTTTTGTTTGGGGAGGGGGGGAGGTTGGGGGAGGGTTGGGGGGGGTGATGGCATTTTCTGTACAATTCATGTACTTGCTATCATTTGTTTCCAAGTGTATCCTTTATACCTTGTGGCTTTTTAGTTTCAAAGGCAAGGTCCGCCCCTGGCGTCAAAACCAGATTTTTAAATATTTTTTTTTTTGTTTGGGGAGGGGGGGAGGTTGGGGGAGGGTTGGGGGGGGTGATGGCATTTTCTGTACAATTCATGTACTTGCTATCATTTATTTCCAAGTGTATCCTTTATGCCTTGTGGCTTTTTAGTTTCAAAGTCAAGGTCCGCCCCTGGCGTCAAAAACTCGAGCTACTCCACTACTTACATAATTTTCTTCTACTTTTAAATCCTATATACCATAACTGCAACCGTCTCGCGCAAGTCATATTTACTCAGGACATACGGATGAACACATTGACTGAGAAAGGGCCATGGTGGAGAGCCTTTGCCCTCGCTCTGATGTTTGAATTGAATCTTTTTAAACCAGGGCTGAGCCTGGTACTGTTCTTGTTTATACGGCATTGTAATTCAGGAATTTTTCTATAGAAAACGAGAATGGGGGAATAGAAATCTGCAAGTACAGACGCCGTAGCGATAATGAATGCTTCGAAAGGTTCATACCGCAAACAGGATATAACTCTAACAAAATAATGTAAAATATCAAATAATATAGAGTGGAGCTGCGATATTGGCGTGAGTCTGCTGGTTGCCAGTTGGTAGTAATTTTCATTTTTTTCTATTACCAATGAACACAAATTATGCCCCAAATTTGTATTTTATTAACAACATTGCCAAGTTCCGGGTACTTTCCAGGGGTGTGGTACACGTCATTTCAAGGAGTCCGGATCAGCCCCAGCGGCTGAGCCCTAATAATTCCTTATCAATCTTTGACTTATTAAATTTGATCTTCGCTGAAGAAGGTTTTTGGTGGACATCTTTTTTCTTTCTTTTCGTTTTTTAAAATTTATTTTTGGGGTCCTTTTTACACAAGTTTTCACTCCCTTACAATCTTCGAATAAATAAAGGTAATCGAATTTCGAATGAATCAAAGATGTATCATTTATGTTGGCCTCCTCTTCACTCTCCGAGTTCTCCA